CGCGAAAGCCCTTCAGCTTAGCTACTATCCACTGTAATAGGTATAAAAATTAAGCTTTTATACAAACGAGAATTTCTACGAAAAGATTCGAACTGTTCAGGGCATCGGATTGAATTTTTTTACCAATAAAACAGCTTTAAATTTTATTTTCAAATGTGGCATTACAGTCCTGTAGATGATATATCGAATACCAATTTTTTTTCGTGTGATTGTTCCCTGTCTATCATGTGATAGATATCGGCAATCAACGCCACCCATGGTCACGCGTCACACCATTCAAGCCGGCCTTTTATGGGTTTTTAGGAATTTAAGGATAGGAATTTTGTCCAATGGGTTCGGGGGAAGGATTAGGCCTCCAGTAAGCTCATACATAGCAAAACAAGATGTATATTATGTAAGTGTTGTTTTACGCCGGTCTTCTATGAAACCCTTATTATGAATCAAGGCAAGCTGGTTGTGTCGAAGCATGACTCTCCCATACGAATGTTTATTAATGTAAGTACCTACTGTTTATAACCTTATAAAAATGTTTTCCGTGCAGGACAGCCGAAAGGCACGGATAGGCCAATTCAGTCAGAAGGTGCATTTACAGGCATTGGCGTGAAACAACGCTTACATTTTGTTTCATCATGTACCTAAGTGAGGCTTCATAACATAAAAAAACATAGATACTGGTATTGAACGAGTGGGTTATTTCAGTAATTGAATGCCCAGTTGTGTGTAATTTTCTGATGGCGTATGTTTACTGAAATCTTTAATTATAATTGAAAGAAAGAAATAAAAACAGCAATAGACATACAAAAATAAATTTTAATCTAAACACAGAATTTACGAAAATGATACAATGTTTGCGAGAACCATGCTTCGCCACGAATAGGTCGGCTCGACTGGAGTGATACCGCCTTACAGAAAACAACCAGAACGTTGTGCTACGCCGTGTGATTGAGGTTACCCGGGGGTCCAATTCTTCCCCTCACACAATCCCTAAATCTCCAAATCCGTAATCCCCAAAAGGTCGTCAACCCACTCGTAACTCTTTTGTTGTTGCGGATGTCCATAAGCGGCGCTGATTGCTTACCATCAGGTCGTTTGCCGTCCTATCTCATTAAAAAATATAAATAATTATTATACGTACTTAATAATATTATAAAAAACTTGTTTTTTTAGCACACCGTGTCATATTATACCCATTTTCCGTTTACATTGTCTATGAAAACCTCCATTAAGGTAATTCACCTGTGTGAACACAGATAAAGATAAATGTGTTCCATTTGACTGTTTTTTTTTTTTGTTTACACGTATTTTTCCATATGGAAGGCTTTTAACTGCGGATTCAGATTTAATAAAAAGCTTTATAATTTTCCGAGCTGAATTTTTAATAGTCAGTTAATGTTATCTGAGGAATAAAATTGTTGCTGTCACTGTCTTATACAAACATTCTGACGCGACAGCATCATAAATTATTCCCCTGGTAACTTTTATCGAACCATAGAGAAATCAGCCCTTAAAGATTTTTTTTCAGATCGATTGGCAATCAACTGATGAAACACCTGATGGTTAAGCAATCGGAGTTGGATATCGTAGTTATACATATACAAGTGCGGTACCAACCTTTTGTGATTTGTTTGAAATTTTAGGAATCTTGGTATTTCGGAATGCTGAGCCTCCAATAACCTCAGTTACACGGCAAAACAAACCGCAAGCTTTGTGACACTTTTCCTTTGATCCGAACCTTTTTTTTTTTTTTTTTTTTTGGTGTCGGGTTGGAAAATCCTCATGGAGACCCACCACCCTCGGGGAAGGGCGAAGGGTACTGCCAGACTCATACTGACTAAAAACCAACCCGGTGTTCCTCCACTTACCCATGTGTCGGAGGGGCGGGTATCGCCGAAGCATTCGTCGCATCCCCCCGACGGGTATTGGCCCGCCAGATAGTTAGGCGGGCCCCGTCACCCACTGCGGCCGTCACCCACTGCGGCCGTCACCCCGACCGCAGGACTCCATTATGAGGCGCGCGCGGAACACGGCGCCGCCGCCTCGAGGCCTGCTGCTGGTCGGACGAAAAGACGCCCCGAGTCTGTCGTCCGCAGGCCGCACCCTACGGTGGCCGCAGGTCGGCCACCCTACGACGTCTAGTGCGTCTGCTGCGGGAGGGGAGAGAGGAGGCAGCCTCCTTTGCGAGCATCACGGCTTCGCAGAAGGTAGCGACGGCACTCCACCCTGACTCGCTCCCGACTATAGTAGACACTACAGCCGGAAGCGAGAGATTTCCCGCAGCACCTACGGCCGCGACCAGGTCACGGCGCTGCTCGGCCCAAGCTGGGCACTCCACCAAGGTATGCAGCGCCGTATCATCGCGGCAATCCCCACAATGGTGGCACTGAGACGTCGGCTCCCGACCTATGCGACACAGGTACTTCCCAAAACACCCGTGTCCAGTAAGCACCTGCGTCCGCCGGAAACTGAGGGCGCCGTGGCTCCTATTGAGCCACTCCTCTAGAAAGGGCCTTACAGCCGCTATAGCGGCGTGCCCCGCCGTGGGTTGCGCTAAACGCGTCTGCCACTCCGCCACTAAGGCCTGACGGAGTTCCGCCCTGCGTGCCTCAACCTGTCGAGGCACCAGATCACTCACGTCAAGTCTTCCTATAACTGACGAACCAAGAGTGTCCCACGTTTAAAAATGTATTATTTTTAATTTTGTTGAAACAAAATTAAAAATAATACATTTAAAAATATACGCCTAAATAAAGCCTTCATACTTATTGGTGCGTCCGCCATAACGATACTGGACTTTAGTGAGGAAAATAATCGAATGACTTCTCTCGGCCAGGATGAGGTGAGAGCTAGTCTCTATAAGGGTCCGGCGCGAGTAGGTTCTTAGTGCGTCTGAAAGAGCCAATAGACACACAAATGGGGTCAATATTTTTTGATGCTAGTAAATAAGTGCTATTTGACACAACAGGTTTTAGAAAGAATTCTATTGACTTTTTTGTGAAATGTATGTCCTCTACGATTTTTTTGACGAGGGAAAGGTATCAAACCACTACGCGGTTTGCTATCCGCGGGTAGGGCACGAAAGAGTGCTAGCCCGTTCGTTCTCCTGTTCCAAACCGAGGCCGCCATATATAATAGGCCCCACCTTTATCAGTCTACTAGCTATTCTCGCGCGGTTTCACTCGCTGCTCGGCTCCATTTAATCGTAAAGTGATATTTTATAGCTGTTTACGGTGTTAAGCGGAACCGTAGCGCGATCCGAAAAGACAGTTGATTAAAAGTTTGAGTTTTGCTTCCCTAGATGGCGTTGGGATCGAAATAGATCGTGCTATGGTTTCGTTACATAGAAAAGTATAGCTGTTTTTTTATTTTAGTTAGTAATTGTTAGCATGATAACTTGTAAATTTGAAATAAATACAGTTATTCGGGAGCGCGAGACATTCTTTCATTTCTCCAAGACCAAAACCACCGTCGTATAGTTTCGTACAATAGCCTATAGCACCCAGGAACATTGTAGCTATTTATCAGTGAAAGAATTTTGGCAATCCGACCAGCGGTTCCAAAGATTACCCCCTACTTACAAACTTACAAACATATAAACATACAAACTTACAAATTTTATCTCTTTATAATATTAGTATAGATTGGGTCTCAGAATAGCGCGCGCTCTACACCCCATAGGCTCGTATTCGATACTGGCTGGCAGCCTCTGTATTTTGAGCGTGAAATAAAATATTTTTCTTTCTTTCTTTCAGCCACAACAACAAGCTACCTTCGCTCGCCGTCCGCAGACCCGTCCTACAAATCCTTTCAATCAAATCACTAGTTTTATAACAATAACTTCAAGCTACCTTGTAGGGTTAATAATTAGGATTGCTTGTTGTCATGTCAGCAACCCATTACGTACACTGTGACATTAAAAGATAACCAAATAAATACAAGCCATTTTATTTAAAAAGTTACGTTTATGTCTTTTACATTTTCAACGTAACTTTTCTAGCAATAAAGTCTCAAATCTATTCACACACAGTTACCTATCTGAACAATAGAATTTTTATTTGTTATTTACACGCAGCGGTCAACCGGACAATATAATAGCCCGGGCCATAAACACGATGTCTGTGTTGGCGGAGGACGAAGGACGAACGCCTGAAGGTCTAATCCAAGGGCGGAAGTAGGTAGCTACTTCAATGAAACGGACGCTCACATAATATACTGCAGTTACAAAGGAAGGAGTTGTCCTTCGAACCTTTATTAAAGAAAAAAATACACAATACTCGTAGCAGTGTAAGATATTATTTTTTTGAAATTTGTTTGTGGGTGTTGCATTACACAGGGTAGTGTTCTGAGAAATTGGGTAGTTTCCTAGGTCGAAAATAAATTAATTCGACGTTTCAATATATAAAAAAAATGTTAAAAAATAACTAAGTCTAGGTACTTTTATTCATCGATCGATCGATACACTAAGTTTTAGATTTTTTATTGCTAATAATAAGAAATAAATCTTACGTCAGTTCTTCATACAAATTACATAGAAAAGTTATAGTTTTTGACATTTGAATAAAAGTATTGTTCGGTTTGATCCTCGCCGCACCTTATCGACATCGTTATACGCGAAAGCGTCATCATCCCCATCGTATAAATAAATGGTTGGCACTCAACAACAGCGCGACTTACGCAAAACTTTCTGGCCCGCACAGCAAAACTTTGGATGATCTTCCGGCTGCAGTATTTCTAAACCGATACGACCTTCAAACCTTCAAGAAACGAGCGTACTCCTTCTTAAAAGGCCGGCAGCGCGCCTGTGACTCTGGTACTGCAGGTGTCCATGGGCAGCCTAGACTATTCGTTTGCCTCCTATTCCATAAAAAACAGCTACCTACTGTTTGATTTTAAATAATATTCAGTATTTAAAACTGTTTGTAAAACGTATTTTAGTCAATTAAATACAAAGTAGGCCAACAACAATATCTGTTGAGAACGAAACGCAACTTTGACATAACATTGCTTGTTCAACGTCAACAACTTAATGTCAATGTCATAAAAATGTACGAATGATGCGATTTTACTGATTTTTGATTAGAAAACTTTCGACATAAATATATAAATAAGAACAATAGTTTATTAAAGTGTTTAGAGTTTTATTCTGATCAAAATGTCGGCAACGACATCTTATAATAACGATAAAGTGGTGATGGGTGAAGTAGAATACCCGGCGAATGACCCAGCTTCTGGGGCGTTTTTCCAACCAGATTATAAGAAGTACATCAATATTTTATACATATTAGCAACTAAAACCTATTTTGTAACCCTTCTATATTAATTTACCTTTACATTTTAAAATAAAGTTGTTGTTTTTGGACTTGTAATTCATTGTTATAACTAAGACTATTGATGTCACTATATTCCTAAAGATGACACAGTATTTTACGTTTAAATTTGTAAATAAAGATACAATTTTCGTAAATACCTACATATTCATAAGTATATGGTGTAGTAAAACATTCTGTTTTTGTGTTGCAGAAATGAGGATTTAAAAGTCATGTTGGATGGGTCCAAAGACTCACTAAAACTAGAAGCTATGAAGAGAATTATTGGCATGATTGCCAAGGGAAGGGATGCTTCAGATCTGTAAGTACCCTAATTCTAATGAGAAGTTATTTTAATGAATAGAATACAAAGTTTAAAATCAATAATATAAATACAAAAGTTTTAAGTATGGATAGATATTTGTTACTTCTTTTACATAAAAGCTACTAACTGACATTTGCACGGAGATTATACCGCTTAAACTTCCCAAAAACATAGATTACTTTTTAACCCAGGACTGCTGATGAAGCCACTGGCAGAAACTAGTTTAATAATATTTATTTAATACTTATTGTAAACTTGAGCGGCTTTATTCAAACATACAAATCTTAGAAAGTACTAGTTCAAACTGGAAAAAGAAGAGTTAAGCATAAGTTAAATGGTCAGGGGTTCAAATTAAACACAGCTTTTTGAGTTGGAAAGTGCATTTCTGAGCATGAATGTAGCATCTACTTATTACCAACTTGTGTAAATCTTCAGGTTTCCGGCAGTAGTAAAGAATGTTGTATCAAAGAATATAGAAGTGAAGAAGTTGGTGTATGTGTACCTGGTAAGGTATGCTGAGGAGGAACAAGACCTGGCTCTGCTGTCTATCAGTACCTTCCAGAGAGCTTTGAAGGTAATTATTAGTTACTATCGGCTCTCCCCCGCTTCACTCAAGTCCAACTATCTAATTAAAAACGAAAGGGTCATTATTCCCCAATTTTTCCCCATACTATTATAAAAAATTTTTCTTAGGAACCTTCTTCTGACTATAAGAGATACAACAAAAAAAGAATTGTCTAAATTGGTCCAGGCGTTGTCAAGTTATATGCCAACACATTTTGCGATTCATTTTTATATATATAGATGGTTTTAGAAATCTTTAACTTTAACTAAATGGAATTTAATTACTGTATCTGTTGAAGAGGTATCTATTTATTCTTAGGAAAGCTTACAAACTTATGATACATCTACATTTTAATGACTCAAGTAAGTACTAAATTTGCTAACAACAAGCTTCCACCTGTAAGTGATTTTTCGTCTATAATTTTAATTATGATCCAAATTTTGTCAAAATTTTGTGATGATGGAAATTACTTTGATAGTTCAGATTGATACAGTTAGCCTTTGGCCATAAAACAGCACTTTTACACATCAAAGTTGAATGTAAAAAAAGATAAAGCCGGCATTTCTTGTGTAGTGAAAAAATTTGTATAAAACAGATATAATTTTTAACACTTGTCTCAACATTGAGATGTACATCAATAGATACCATAAATTAACACTTATTTAACTGTTTAAGCTAATACTATAATCATGTATGTATTATCATATCATGTATGTACGAGTAACACAAATCTAAAAGATTCACTGCAAGCCTGTACAATTTGTACATAAAAATAATTTATTTCAAATAAACCACTATATGTGATGGTCTATTATGTTAGTCACTTATATTTACTCAAATAATTTGAAAAAGAAAATAACCTCAAGGATGAATACATACATATAATATTCATTTGTTCAGGACCCAAACCAGTTGATCCGTGCCAGTGCTCTCCGAGTGCTCTCATCCATCCGGGTGCCCATGATAGTGCCTATAGTGATGCTGGCCATCAGAGACTCTGCCAGCGACATGTCGCCTTACGTTAGAAAGACTGCCGCACATGCTATACCTAAGTTGTACAGGTAACACACTATAACCTATTTGTTTTTTTAATTAATTACCTTTACCTTTCATAAGTTGAACAATAGGTGCGCAAACGCCGGCGTTTGCTTGAGATTTGATGAATGAATTAGGAGGAAGTCGTGTAAAATACATATGATTAGTTTATTGGCGCCCGTTCTCATGAGTCTTGTTATTAGTTTTTTGAGGGAAAATTGTCAAATGTTTTGCGCTGGCGCCCTAGGTGGAGCGAGAGAGAAGGTCAGACTCTTACTGACTGAAAACAACCTCTGTTTCTTCTCCTGCTCGGGGCCGATGCCATGGTACATTATTGCTTCCAAACGATTGGATGGGTCACCTGATGGTAAATGATCTGCTTCGCCCTGATAGATACCTGCAAGATAGACGCGTTGCTGGCCATTTAGGAAGGAGTACGCTCGTTTCTTGAAGGTTTGATGGTCGTTGCGGTTCGGAAATTATCGCCGCCGAAAAATAATTTCAAAGTTTTGCTGAGCGGGGCAGAAAATTCCTTATAATAAAGTTTGAATAATATCAATACAGTCGAAAATAAAGCTTTCCCTTCAAATAATAAGGTTTAAATTGAAAACTACAACTAGAAATTAATGTTTTTTTTTTTATCTATACAGCTTGGATCCCGAACAAAAAGAGGAATTAGTTTCTATAATAGACAAGTTATTATCGGACAAGGCGCCTCTTGTTGTCGGTTCAGCGGCCATGGCGTTCTCCGAAGTGTGTGGGGACCGAATGAGTCTCATACATAGAAGTTACAGGTATAATTTTTTCCTTATTTTTAGAAAACTACTTTTGATTGCACGGTTGGCGCGGTGGCTGGGTAACTGGCTGCCGTGCAACGTGTCGCGGGTCGAATCCCGCACGGAACAACTCTTTGTGTGATCCTCAAATTGTTGTTCCGGGTCGGTTTGTGATGTGTATGTGAATTTGTATGTTAGTAAACGCACCCACGATGCAGGAGAAAATCCTAGTATGCAACGATTTTTTTTAAAAACAAAATTTAGAAAAACTGACAATTAACTGACTTCAGCACCTGTTTTAAAAAATAGTCTTTTTGGCGTATGTAATAAGGAACATTTTTCGCAGGAAACTTTGCTCCTTACTAGCCGATGTAGATGAGTGGGGCCAGCTGACTCTGCTCAACGTGCTTACAGTGTATGCTAGAACATGCTTCGCGGACCCCAACAGTGAAGTAAGTAAAGTTCAGTTAATAATAATAATTATGTATATTGTTCTTGGCTGCAGGTACTTTGTCATTTTGATTATTTAAAGCAGTGTAGCTATTTTTTTTTTGTTTTTTTTTTATCAGGGGAAATCATCCAATGACTTCTTCCGCCCAGGGTAAGGCGAGAGAGAGTGTCAGACTCTTACTGACTAAAAACCCCCCTGTTCCTTCTCCTACTCTGGGCCGAGGTCGCGGTGCCTCATTGCGCTTACCCCTCCACCCCGGCTGAACATCAGCCCTATAGGGCCCCGTCTGTGGTGGTCTATTGGCTCTTTGAGGCGCGCGCGGAACGCTACGCGCCGTACGCTTGGGGTTGTCATATGTGCAGGCTTATTACCTAATGGTAAGCAATCAGCGTGCCCCATGGACACTGATAGTACCAAAAGAGTTACGTTAAGTTAATTTAATGTACCGTACAACATACCCAGGCGCCCTATCACCAACACTTTTCATGTACACTGCTCCAAAACCAATGTTGGTGTCAACTCACCCATCAACAGAATAAGCAGGCAATTCAACCAAATCGCAAGTAGTATACCAGAAATCGATATATTCCACGACACCATCAATGTATTTAGATCTAAAATATTGGAGTCCATTGAACAATAATCTGAATCGTTATATACTTATATATACTTATCCTTTCTAATGTATTCTAAGTAAATATGTAATTTATTCAACTTTGTCCTTTGTTACTCTGACTAGTTTTAATTATAATCTATCATATTTTTGTGTAAACTCGTAATTTTAAGAATGTTTGTTATCTCGACACTGGCTAATGTGTAAGACTTAATTTGTCAATTTGATTTGATTAGTTTTAGTTATAATTCTACAATATTAATTCTTTCTGTTTTTTTGTGTAAACGCTTAATTTTATGAATGTTGGTTAGCTCGTAATTGGCTAATGTATAAGATCTACTACCTATTATCTAATACATTTAAGAACTTTGTATACATAAGCTGTGAGCCTACCTTTTTTTCAATAAATAAATAAATAAATAAATAAAGTGCGTTGCCGGGCTCTTGTGTATTAGGGATTTGAGGATTGAGGAGGGGGAAGGGGTAAGAATTGGGCCTCGAGTAACCTCACTGACACGGCGAAACACAACGCTGTGGTTGCTTTACGCCCCGGTTTTCTGTAAGACCATGGTATCACTCCGGTCGAGCCGATCCGTTGTCGTTTGCGTAGGTATGGCTGTCGTAGGGATGATCTATGATTTAAGGGAAAATAGCTAATATCGATAAAATGGGTACCCATATCGATGTTGACTATAGAATATTTATGTGTATATCTATTCATTTTTCTCTAAGTTACGGAATCTACGGAAATGTAAAATGAAAACAGACAGAGATGTCAAACACACAGAATAATAAAACTTTAACTGAGTTTTTTTTTTCTAAATCAATAACGCTGTCTTCCAGTAATAAGGGAACACTATACAAATTCCTTTCATAAGGCTGTTAAAAAATATTTACTTATATTTTTGAACAAAAATTGTACTTAATTAATTTAATTCTATTTTTATCGACATCGATTGCATTTATTAAAAATTTTAATGTAACAGCACAAATTTTTACAATAAAATACAAAAGGAAAGAAAGGGATAGCAGCATTAGAAATACTTAGTGAAAGAACGAGACTTTTACAAAAGACATCGACGTGCGTTACATCAGTGTGCTTTTTTTACCCAAATACCATTTTATCTAGATCCCTGCGGAGTCACATAATCTAATGAAATAAAAAAATATTTTCGTATTATTTAATTACTGATGAAAAGTACCTAATGCCATCTTTTTTGTAGATCTTCTCTGGCATTTTGTTCCGATAAAATTGCAATAATAAGAAAAAAGTTTATTTTTTTATTTTGCGTGTGTTGGGGTCTAACACTTGGACACAATTAAATGGTTACTAGTACCGAGGCTTAGACATAGGCGTCAAAATACTAATCGTTTTCGAGCGTCGGGGCACTGCATGCGCCGTCAAGTGGTTATCGTCATTGCTTCTTATGCAGTAGAAGGGTTCGAAACCATGGTTCTGTACCTACCAATGTGACTTTTTCTAAGTTATATGTATTTTCGATCTGTATTTAGATAGCATTGACAAACAGTAGAAGCAAACATCATCGTGAGGAAATTTGGACTTGTAATTTAACTAACTAACTAAACTAACGTCTAGTCAGAAATTTTGCGCTCAAGTTTGCTCAGCTAGAAATCTCAGCTCAGTTAGAAATTACCAATGCATCTTGCATTGGTAATTTCTAACTTCTAGTTATAAATATTTAAATAGTTAGTTATAATCTAAATATATAAAACTCAAAGGTGACTGATATAGTGATCTATCAACGCACAGCCCAAACCACTGGACGGATCGGACTGATCGAATTTGGCATGCAGGTAGATGTTATGACGTAGGTATCCGCTAAGAAAGGATTTTGATTTATTTTACCCCCAAGGGGATAAAGTTTGTATGAAACTTTGTCAATTGTAAACCGATCGGGCTGAGACCTTGCATGAAAAAAGCTACTATAATGCCTACGTTATGCGTGCCTATGTTATACGGGATGCCTACATCCCCTAAGAAAGGATTTTGATAAATTCCACCTCTAAGGGGATAAAATAGGGGATGAAAGTTTGTAAAAATCTTCTTAGATTTTCGACTGATTGAGCTGAAATTAAAGATTGATGAAGACGAGGCCTTAATTTTCAACACACGCTAAACAAAAGTAAAGCCGCAAAAACTTTACCTAATTAATAATAATATTTCTCAAAGCGAGTGAAGCCGCAAACAAAAGCTAGTCCTATATATAAAAATGTATCGCAAAATGTGTTGGTAAGCGCATAACTCAACAACGCCTGGACCAATATTGCTAATCATTTTTTTTTTGTGTTTGTTATTGTCAGGAGAAGGTTTTTATCAAATAAAATATTAGAAAAGTAGAGGGGAAATTTGACCCGTGACAGTGAAAAGCGAGATAGTTGGACCCGTGCGAAGCGGGGGCGGGCCGCTAGTGTTAAATAATTACCAATGCATCTTGAGCAAGCATGGTGATTAATGCTAAAATTTTCGTGTGAAAAGAGGCCTTTGCTCAGCCGTGGCCATTTATAGGCTGATGATGTGTGATGTGTGAAATTTTGGTTGTAGAAGTACTCGAGCGATAGTGAGACGGAGAAGCCGTTCTACGAGTCGGACAGTTCTGCCGGGGGCCGGTCGTCCCCGGCCAGCCTGGACGCGGACCACCGCCTGCTGCTGCGCGCCGCCAAGCCGCTGCTGCAGAGCAGGAATTCCGGCGTCGTGCTCGCCGTCGCACAGCTCTTCTACCACTGCGGACCTGGTACGTACGGGGGGTGGAATACGCAGAGGATGCTAATTTACATATAATCATATACTAGTCCACAGCCACCACACCCATAACCATATAATTCTCAACCATATTGCACAATAGTCCTACATCAATCGGAGATTGTCCTTGAGTGCACTCTTGTATGATGATACTGATGTCCTTTCACAATTAGATTAAAACTGTTCAACGGGGCTCTGCGAGTTAGCTTCGGTCTCTCGTACGCCTTCCAAAGGTCAGGGATAATAATTATTAATAATAATTTATTTATTTCAGACCATTGATCCACAAATATATGTCGGAGCACGCGACAGTAGCGCCACACTTGGCCGGATCGGCTAGTTGTAGAACTTATGTTGTAATCTGTCAACATAGGTTTTCGTTTAAAAATCAAACCATAGGCAGTATCTTTTCTTTTTCTTTTATTGGTTGCGTCAAGTATCCGAACTTGGGCGTAGTCGATACGTGGCTGGCTGGTTGGGCCATATTGTGGCCATAGACTAACTGTCAATTTGTAACCTCATGTTGGTACTGTGAAAACAAAAAATGAATGCTGCGAACCTTACGAGATTGACGTCCTGCCGTGGATGAAAAATCAAAAAAAAAAACGTGAAGATTCATTTTTCAGATTGCGACGGCAAAACTGTCGAGTTAGTCAGCCCCGTGTCGAATTCGCCGCGCAACCAAAGTGTATCCGTTTGCATCTCGATTATCGTGATTATTCAAGAATTGTAATTGCTGGCAAATAATAAAAGCCTGATCATCGTAAATTACGTTTTATTTCTGGAATCTACGCCATTATGGAGCCTCAGCGCCTGGATGCCCCGTCATCAGAAGTGGGATTGGAAAACCACGCGCCACGTGCAAAGGACAACGACCCACCGAGTGTTGAAAATCACGATGCCGCTGCAAATAACGTTTCACCACGTGCAATAAATAACGACGCAGACGATAGAAGATGGCATCTACTTTTGGAACAGCAGAACCGGAATTTTATGACCCTTGTGCAAGCTATGAAGACGCCTTCGACCAGTGAGCTACGCCTGCCCGATTTCGACCCTGATAAACGAGATGTCGACGCACGTGCTTGGATATCGACGGCTGACCTCTGCATCAGTGACCAGCATCAGCAAGGTACGCACCTTATGGTGGCTTTAAGTCGTGCGTTAAAGGGGCATGCCTCCACGTGGTTTTCGACGATTTCATACCCTGGCATGAACTGGTATGATTTCAAGGAGCTTTTTAAAGCAAGATACGACTGTCCCGAAACTGTTGCTTCATTTTTAATCAACCTAAATGAAAGCAAGCCTAAAGAAAATGAGTGTGTTGCTGCATATGCTGCCTCCCTTATGACGTCGATTATGGCCAGATGGAAAAATTTACCCACCGAAGAACTGGCTATAGCTACTGTTCTTGCACATTTGTCACGTTTCGACCGACGTATTCAACGACTTTCGTTTACAACCGACGTCAAGACACGCAATCAATTGCAACAAGAATTGAAGGCAGTATCTTTTTTTAAACGTAAAGCCAATGCGAATGACCTTGATGTGCCTGATACCAAGAAGAACCGCAGCACTTGCCCAACAACTCCTGTGAAGTGCTACTACTGCGGGAAGATGGGACACAAATCTACCATGTGTCAGTCACGTAGGAGGGACAATATGAAGAGGAGAGACGAGCACCCTAGACCTCAACTGGGCAACAATGATAACAGCAAGCCAAACCAGACCAAACCAGCGGCCGTCACCTGCTACCACTGCCAAGGGAGCGGCCACTACGCGTCGAGCTGTCCGAAGCGGCGCAGCCAGGAAGGGACCAGCGGAGCGGGCGCCTCCAACGTGAAAAGGGTCAACCTGTGCGTCCGGAGCGTGCCTACTGGGACCATGCGTATTGCTGGTGAGCCTTATTCATTTCATTTTGATTCTGGAGCTGAGTGTTCACTTGTAAAAGAGACTGTGTCACAGAGACTCAACGGACGACGACTCAATAATACAGTGACATTGATTGGTTTAGGTCAGACCCCTGTTTATTGCACATCGCAAATACTGACAGTCGTAGAGATTGACAACATCAATTTAGAAATTCTACTGCATGTTCTGCTTGACCAGTATCTGCAACATAACATCGTAGTAGGTCATGAGATTTTGCTGTTAGGTTTGGCTGCACATATCACTGCTTCGCAACTGAGATTTTCCAAAAATCAAATCGTTCAGTTGTGCCATGTTTCGCCAACTGACCAAGGAATTAATCCGGACACGGTGGACACCGACGTCCCACCTGAATACAAAGGTCAGTTACTTGATTTGTTGAAATCATTTGAGCAGTCTTTTTCAAGAGGTGTGCCAGCGAAATGCGCGGATACTGAACCCATGGAGATTCGCCTAAAGGATCCACACAAGACTGTTAATCGGCGACCATATCGGCTGAGCACTCAAGAGCGACAAGTTGTTCGAGAAAAGGTAAGCGAGCTTCTAGACGCAGGCATAGTTCGTCCTAGCTCGTCACCATTTGCAAGCCCAATACTTCTAGTCAAGAAGAAAGATGATTCCGACAGGCTTTGCGTGGATTACCGCGAACTGAATGACAACACAATACCTGACAGATTCCCGCTACCACTCATCTCCGACCAAATTGCTAGGTTGCACGGAGGTATGTACTTCTCCACTTTGGATCTCACATCGGGCTTTCATCAGATCCCTGTCGCAGCTGATTCCATCGAACGAACTGCGTTTGTAACACCAGACGGCCAGTACGAGTATCTCAGAATGCCGTTTGGCCTAAAGAACGCGCCAGCAGTTTTCCAGCGCGCAATCATAAAAGCTCTCGGGGATCTGGTTAACACCTATGTTGTGGTCTATATGGACGACGTGCTGATTATGGCCAGCACTGTAGAGGAAGCGCTGGAGCGACTGAAGATCGTGCTAGAAGTCCTCACTGAAAGGGGATTTTCTCTCAACATGAAGAAGTGCAAGTTCCTCAAACAAAAGGTGGAGTATTTGGGATTTGAGGTGTGCCAAGGTGAGATACGCCCTAACCAGCGGAAAGTGGAAGCTCTTACTGCTCTGCCACCCCCGGAGACTGTGACACAGTTACGTCAATTCATTGGCTTAGCATCGTACTTTCGGCAGTTCGTGCCCCAGTTCTCGCAGGTAATGGCTCAACTCTACGCACTTACCTCGAGCTCGAATAATGGAAAGCTTGTCTGGAAAGCTGAACATGAAGCTATCAGACAACAAATAATTGCTGCACTGACTAGCGAACCGGTATTGCTTATTTTCGATCCAGATCTTGACACGGAACTGCATACCGACGCAAGTGCGATCGGATACGGCGCAGTTCTAATGCAGAGAAAGGCTGGTAAGTTGCACGCTGTTGCCTACTACAGCAAGCGTACGACGGCCGCTGAATCGCGGTACCACTCCTATGAACTGGAGACGCTAGCGGTCGTCAACGCAATTAGGCATTTTAGGCATTTCCTTCATGGACGAAAATTTGTTGTCGTGACAGACTGCAATTCACTTCAATCCAGCAAAAAGAAGTTGGACCTGGCCCCGCGTGTTCATAGATGGTGGGCTTTTCTACAGAGTTTCGACTTTGATATCGTGCACCGAGGAGGAAAACACATGTCTCATGCAGACTTTTTGTCCAGAAACCCTGTCCCGTCCGACAAGGTAAGTCAAAAGTCTGCGAATAAAGTGGAACCAAAGCGCATCAATTTGACCGAATTGACCGGTAACTGGCTCCTGGCTGAGCAACAGAAAGATGTTGAGATTTCTAAGCTTGTAATTGACCTGAACGATAACAAGCTTCCTGACGACGTTGCGAAGACGTACGAGCTACGCTCAGGACTTTTATACCGGAAGGTACAGCGTAACGGTAAGACTCGCTGCTTGCCTATCCGGCGTGCACGAGAGCTTGATGCACTTGGGGTGGGAGAAAACGTTAGAGAAGGTGTTCGAACTTTACTGGTTCGAACACATGACGAAGTATGTGAGGCGTTTCGTTGAGAACTGCGTTACATGCAGAATCTCAAAGTCGAATTCAGGTAAGGTTCAAGCATCCATGCACCCTATTCCAAAAGTTGCGATACCTTGGCACACTGTGCATGTTGATGCAACAGGAAAACTCAGCGGAAAGAACGACAAGAAGGAATATGTGTTCGTTCTAGTCGACGCCTTCACAAAGTACGTATTGCTGTACCATACCCTGAATATAGACACTGCCAGCAGCATCAGAGCCGTGAAGCAGAGCGTCTCACTTTTTGGTGCCCCTACGCGGCTAATTGCGGATCAAGGACGATGCTTCGCAAGCAGAGACTTCAAAGAGTACTGTGAGTCTGTAAACATTAAATTACACCTCATTGCAACCGGAAGCTCTAGGGCCAACGGCCAGGTCGAGCGCATTATGTGCACTCTAAAAAATATGCTGACCGCTGCGGAAACCGGTAGCCGATCGTGGCAGGATGCGTTACCCGACGTGCAGCTCGCTCTAAATTGCACTCAAAATCGGGTGACTAAGGCAAGTGCACTGGAGATGCTCATAGGCAAGATTGCAAGGCCGCTGGAGTTGATGCTTGCTGACGACGAAGAACCTGTAACAGATCTAGAACAGGTAAGAGCTGAAGCGGTTCAAAACATGACTGACAGCGCTGGATACGACAAAAGACGGTTTGATAGCAGCAAGGCTAAAGTCCAGCCGTTCTCTGTTGGAGATTTTGTCCTGCTTCAGAACGAGGAACGCAACCAGACTAAGCTTGACCCCAAGTACAAAGGACCTTTTAAGGTTATTGAGGTGTTGGAAGGCGACCGGTACGTGCTGAAAGCTTTGAACAGCAATCGTACATACAAGTACGCACATGACCGTCTGCGGAAAATGCCAGATGGTATTTGTGAAATTGACGATGCTGACAGTGACGACCATGACTCTGACCAGTAGTTTCATTAAGAAAAGGGCCATGGAACAATATTTTTTTCGTGATGTTTGGTGAAATTCTCGATTTTACTTGTTTACTTTAAGTGTGTAAGTGACTTAGACGCTTAAGAGCGGTTGTCTAGAATGGGCTGAAATCGGACGCCTGTATGTGGTTGTCTCGAACTGTCGCTATCAGACACTGATAACTGAAGAAGTTGTCTTGAAAAGACAATGACACGATCAGACGCTGTGAAGGTTGTCTTGAAGTGTGCAACACGATCAGACGCTGTGAAGGTTGTCTTGAAGTGTGCACCACGATCAGACGCTGTGAAGGTTGTCTTGAAGTGTGCACCACGATCAGACGCTGTGAAGGCTGTCTTGAAGTGTGCAGTGTGGTTAAGGTGCAGCTGTCTTGATGTATTCCATCAGACGCCAGTCGGGGTTGTCTAGAAGAATACTATCAGACGCTCACGAGAGTATTTTTGAAATTATGTGTTGCTTGGTTACTGTTTCATAGCCAGCCATGCAAACATTTGTAAACACTAGAATTCTTGTTTCTCCCTGTAAACGCTTAGCAAATTGGAATAGTTTGTATCGTAATTTAATGCTAGACGCAGTTATGATTACTTTTCCTGTACACCTTTGTAAATATTGCACTTTCTTGCATTTTTGTTTTTCAAGCTAACCCTTACTTTAGTCAGGCTGACCGAGCAAGAGTTGTGCTACTGCTTTGAGTTTTCTTTTCAGATACCCCACACGAGGACGTGTGAAACGTCAAGATGGCCGTGTCGGAGCACGCGACAGTAGCGCCACACTTGGCCGGATCGGCTAGTTGTAGAACTTATGTTGTAATCTGTCAACATAGGTTTTCGTTTAAAAATCAAACCATAGGCAGTATCTTTTCTTTTTCTTTTATTGGTTGCGTCAAGTATCCGAACTTGGGCGTAGTCGATACGTGGCTGGCTGGTTGGGCCATATTGTGGCCATAGACTAACTGTCAATTTGTAACCTCATGTTGGTACTGTGAAAACAAAAAATGAATGCTGCGAACCTTACGAGATTGACGTCCTGCCGTGGATGAAAAATCAAAAAAAAAAACGTGAAGATTCATTTTTCAGATTGCGACGGCAAAACTGTCGAGTTAGTCAGCCCCGTGTCGAATTCGCCGCGCAACCAAAGTGTATCCGTTTGCATCTCGATTATCGTGATTATTCAAGAATTGTAATTGCTGGCAAATAATAAAAGCCTGATCATCGTAAATTACGTTTTATTTCTGGAATCTACGCCATTATGGAGCCTCAGCGCCTGGATGCCCCGTCATATATAACACACAAAATGTCTCAATTAAAATTCATGTGGGATAACATTCTTAGTACATTTTGTATGGAGTGGTGCCGTTCGAACCCACAAATTTAAATTTCTTGTAATTTTTTTTCTACTTCTTCGGGCAAAGCTGAGTTGACCAATATTATTTCATTATTCTACTGTTTTACCTATTAAATGTATTATTTTTGGTGTCTTCAACCTGTTAAGACTTCGTTTGTCTTCAATACCGTAAGAATTCCTTAAATTCTTTTAAGGAATTCTTACGGTATTCATTTTTACCGGAGGCCCAATCCTTCCCGTCCCCCAATCCCTCCTCAATCCCTAAATCTCCAAATCCCTAATCCTTAAAAGGTCGGCAACGCACTCGTAACTCCTCCATGGGCGGCGCTAATTGCTTACCATCAAGTAATCTGTCTGCTCGTTTGCCGACCTATCACATAAAATAAAAATAAATAAAATAATCGATGAAATTATTTATGTAATTCTAGCTCAAGAACTGCCTCCCGTCGCTAAAGCCATGGTTCGACTTCTGCGCGCGCCTCTGGAGGTACAAAGCGTCGTACTCAACTCTATAGCTGCACTTACTGTTACAAGAAGGGTAAGTTTCTTGTATATGAAAATGAACCTTATTTCTTTGTAATAAAAGCTCTTGTAATACGTTAGTTTCCAACTTATTATCCATCATCACCAGCCTGATTTTGTTCACAGCTGGACATAGGCCTCCCCAATTCCACAATGTTCAGTTCTTCTCATACTTAACTTATTATAGCAATGTTAAGAATAATAGTTTTCTATAAATTTCGATTCGTGAACCTTGTATCGAATAAACTAATTGTCGATACCGGTTGATTGTCAAAATTTATTATGACAATTTTTTTCTGATATCATTTGTAGACAACCCGTGTCTGTATATATGTAAATAGGATGGACGCATTTTAGTATCTAGACTATATAATATTATAAATGCGAAAGTATTTCTGTCTGTCTGTCTTTGGTACAGACAAAGTTTGGAACTCGGGAAAGGACATAGGATAGTTTATATACCAAAAATCTGCAGGAAGTCACTATTCCACGCGAACGGTGTCGCGTACAAAAGCTAGTTCTTAATAAAAATAATTTAACGATAACTATTCAAACAATTCCCTCAACAGACACTCTTCGAGCCATTCCTAAAGTCTTTCTTCGTGCGCAACTCCGACCCAACCCACATCAAGTTACTGAAACTGGAGATCTTAACCAATCTAGCCACGGAGGCAAGCGCTGGCGTGATTCTACGGGAATTTCAGACTTACGTCACTTGTAGCGATAAAGCCTTCGCCGGGGCCACTATACAGGCTATAGGAAGGCTCGCCGTGGCCATCCATACGGAGACTGAGACCTGCTTGAATGGACTACTTCATTTGCTGTCAAGCAAAGATGGTGAGTTTTCGTGTGGATTTTTACAATACTGGTTGTAATTGGAAGGGTTGAGTTAATAAAATATTGGTCCCTGTTTTTAGTAAAGTTTCTTGGACATTATTTTGCAATATGTTAATTTGTAGTATAAGGTCAGTAGTCAATTCAGACTTTCAAAATCGGAATCTTCAGTTTTGAATGTTTCAGCTGGGCTGTCTCGACCGGAGTGATAACATGGCCTAACAGAAAATCAGAGTGAAACATACATCATAGCGTTACTATTCGCCATATAAGTAAGGTTACCGGAAGCCCAATATTTTCCCCTCCCCATCCATCCCCAATTCCTAAATCCCCAAAAACCCTTACCCTAAAAAAGCCGCACGCAACGCACTTGCAACTTCTCTGGTGTTGCAGGTGTAAATGGCTGGCGCTGCCAGCATTGCTTACCATCAGTACCATCGTTGTATAGTACTTTACTCAATTAACAATAAAAATATATTTGTTGTCCAGAATGGGTAGTATGCGAGGCCGTCGTGGTAGTGAAGCGAGTGGTGGGAGGGGGGGCCACCTCCGCCCGGGCCGCCGTCGCACGCGCTGCCAAGCTACTGCGCTCCGACAGGTTAGTTTCTTAGCTAGGCTTCTGAATGTTTTAACTAAAATAAAGCATTGGACCTAAAATTGAACCCTGTGGAACACCAATATGAAACAATTTATTAATACTATAAAGCAACTTGATGTAACCATATATAACCTTTCAAGTAAGTTTTTCTTCTTTAGAAACAAAATGATAAACGTTAGAAATTGTAACTTTTCCCGCAAATGTAACGTGTCGTTGAAATAACCTCACACAAACTTTATCAAAACTGTGAAAATACCAAAAAATGTAGTAGGCTGTTGAAATATATACAAAGGGTTATTAAATCTGTTGAAGCTAATCAGTCGACATAACAAATATTGTCAACCTTTTTGTTTGTTTATATGTCGTAACCGTGTGTATACAAGTGTACCCCCCCCCCCCCAGACTGGCGGGGGCGGCGCGCGCGGCGGGGGTATGGCTGGTGGCGGAGCACGGGGCGCGACACCCGCGCGCCGCCGCCATACTCGCGCATATGGCACAAACATTCGCCGACCAGGTATACTTATACATATTACCTACCTATTCTATTTATCTACATATCGGAGATTCGTCGCGCCGGATGATCGAGACATCACAATGGACACGAAATTTTTCTCACAAATCTTTTGTGCAATATTGTAGTGTCCCTTCACAAAATCAATAAAGCAAAATAATTCTCATTCAATCTCATTCGGACATTCAATTTCGTTCTGTACTCTCATCAACAACCATTTTCAAGTTAATTCGTTCCTACACGAACAACGAATTAGTTCACAAAAACAAATTTAGATGGCGTTCATTTAATGTATGCGTCGGCGCTTCGACGTAACTTTTATATCTATAAACGTGTCTATCATTAAAAACTCAACTTTAACAGCACATCTACAAAATCCAATTTCCCTTACAGGACGAGCTGGTAAAGCTGCAGTTACTATCTCTAGCAGTAAAACTGTCAATAACACAACCGGACACGCTACCCATGTGTCGATATGTTGTCTCGCTCGCACGGTATGACGTCAGCTATGACGTCAGAGACCGAGCTCGCATGCTACGTCGGTTCATTGAACCCCAGCCGGGGAAACAACTGAATAATTACGTCGCTGAAATATTTTTGCCTGAAAAACCGAAGCCTGATGTCCAAAGCAGTTTTAAAGGTGAGATTTTTAGTTATTGTACTATGATTATGAGCTGGAGAATTATAATAGTTTCTAGTATGCCAGAGCTAACTAGCTTCTTGAATGTCTTTAAGGTTGAATTGCCCCTTTCTATCGTGGCAATTCGATAAAAACAATAGGCGCGCGAACGCCGGCGAGGTCGTACGAGGTCCCGGTGGACCGGAGCCACCGGCTTCTTATGCATGAATGGGTTCGAAATCTGCCAAATATCAATGTGATTTTTTTTCTAGTTGTACGTTATACTTTTTATGATTTTTTAGACACCACTTACACACGGTGAAGGACAAACATCGTGAGGAAATCTGGACTTAATTTGTAATTATGAGTTTGCAGCGCTGATCGGCTTTGAGTAAGCGTGGTGATTCATGCTCAAACCTTCTCTGTGTGAGAAGGCAGATGATGTGATATGTGTCCTATGGGGTAGTTTTCTACCTTGGCCAAAAATAAATTAATCGACGTTTAAATACAATAAAATAGTGGATAATAACTGTGTTTCTATACATCGATCTGTCGATAATCAATATTTTAGCAAATTTTTATTTTAAAGTTTTGTATTTATTTTTAAGTTATTTGACGCAAAATTACCATGACGTTATGATGTGGAGTTCCATACAAATTTTATAGCAAAGTATCGTTTTTGACATTTAGAACAAACGAATCTTTTACAATTTTAAATAGTTTTAACAGCTGCGTTGGTGGTGTAATGGTCAGCATAGGTCCTTTACTCACACATGGAAGTATAGAATTTGCCTAGTTATGAATGACGTATTGTGTGTCAGACCGTGGCACGTTCACGGTGGGGTCGCTGTCGCAGTACATCGGCGCGGCGGCGGGCGGGTACCGCGCGCTGCCCCCCGCGCCGCGCGCCACGCTCGCCGCCTCGCTGCGGGACGCCGGCGCCCCACCAAGGGACACGCCCGCAGATAACCACGATGAACACCAGGTTAGAACGCTTACTAATCATTTTATTATCATAATTAAAACCACACACGTATATTTTACTATTGCTGTGCTGTCATCCGTGAATAATACCATACATTGGTTAATTTGGCTAGACAAGTCATTAATATATAAAAGAAATAGTAAGTGACTAAGACCAACTTAACACATTTTCTTTACATAATCTTTACTTAACACCTACCAATGTCAATTAAAAATGTCGTGGTGGCACGGAGGTTAAGGAGCCCGCTTCTCAGGTTCGAAACCTGGCAAGTACCAATGTGACTTTTTCCGAGTTATATGTACTTTCTATGATTAATTATTTAGACCTCACTGACATACGGTGAAGGTAAACATCGAGAGGAAACCTGGACTTATAATTTCTAATTATAAGTTAGAAATCGCTAATCCGCATTGAGCAAGCGTGGTGATCAATGCTCTAACCTTCTCCGTATGAGAAAAGGCCTTTGCTCAGCAGTGGGCACTTATAGGCTGATGATGATGATGATGATGAACACCTAACACCATTTTTGATGACATAGGACAGCAAACGAGCTTACGTATTACCTAATGGTAAGCAACCGGCAGCGTCCATGGACTTCCGCAACAAAAAAAAAGAGTTCAGAGTGCTTTACAGGTGTTTTTGGGAATAAAGGTTTCGGATATTTAGAACTTGGGGAGGGATAAGATTGGGCCTCATGTATTTAAACTTAAAAAATGTCGACAGAAAAACAAGAGCTTCTACTCGGAGCCAGAGAGCAGCGGATCAGTAAGGGTTTCGGATATTTAGAAATTGGGAAGGGATAAGATTGGGCCTCATGTATTTAAACTTAAAAAATGTCGACAGAAAAACAAGAGCTTCTACTCGGAGCCAGAGAGCAGCGGATCAGTAAGGGTTTCGGATATTTAGAAATTGGGAAGGGATAAGATTGGGCCTCATGTATTTAAACTTAAAAAATGTCGACAGAAAAACAAGAGCTTCTACTCGGAGCCAGAGAGCAGCGGATCAGGGTCTGGATCCTCATCCTCAGCCAGTTCCAGTTCTGAAGAGTCTTCTGATGAGTAAGTAATTTGTATCTTTATGTGTATAATTTTACTGCACGTGTTTATGTCATTGAACTCCTAAACGGCTTGATCAATATAAATTATTTTTCTGTAAGCGTTTGAAGACTTATACTCGGAATTTTAATTCCATTCCAGATTTGACAATTTCAGTGCTGCAACGTTATGACACGTAATAAATAGTGACGTTGCGAAATTATTCGATGTGGTAATCGAATATTTCTGAATCGATTCCTCTCGTTTATAAATTGAATCTCGTAAACTAAGTTTATCAGGAAATAAAATATTTCTGAACCGATAATTTAGTTTTGACAATTAATTAACGATCTGAGACTTTTCTTTTGTAATTGTGTGCGAAATTAATAAAAAATGTGATCATGAAGGAACATGACAAATAAAACAGACATTATATAAATTGTCGCCGTTATCGCTATCGCTATCGCTGTTACTTTCTGTAACAATTATTATGAATAGTGTCTGTAATTTTTATTGTCAATTAACATATCTAGCTTACTCATTTTTTCCTCTTCTTTGACAACATGGGATACGCATTTAGACCATTCGATAGCCGTAATGTTTTGAATGCCTTCCTGAAACTGATTCACTGATTGTTTATCGATTTTTGTGTTCATCACTACACTGTTATATGTGGTATCATTATTTCACAAAATGACAATAGATCATGTCAAATCAGGAATCGAATTAAAATTCTGACTATAGATTCACAAATCAGCTCGGCAGTGATAGTGTGTGTATATATATATATATCTTTTTTTATTTCTGGCAGATTTTGTGGACAAAGACAGCACACAAATACAATTTCTAATCTTAAGTTTGAAATCGTTTATCCGCTTTGAGCAAGCGTGGTGATGAATACTCATTTACAGACTGACATTGATGATGATGATGATGATGTATTTATCATTGTCATGCTAAAATAACAAAATATATATAATACAGTAATTTCTCAACCTCATAAAGTTTAATTCGATGAATCACATTTGCTGTCTTAGGGAGGAGAGCAACGCAGAAGAGAAGAAAGAAGAGAAACCAGCAAAAGAGACGAATAATTATAGGTGAGCTTCATCCATTCTGCTTGATAGTAGTGCTAGTACTATTTTTCTGTGAGGCCGTGGTATCACTCCGGTCTGGCCGATCCATTCGTGCCGAAATATGGCTCTTCCACACTTAAACTTAAATATAACTGTTCGAGTTCGAGTAATTTATACTAACAGAATTTCTGTAAAATTTTAACAGTGTTTTTTTAGTATAGTTTTTATTTTGCACTCCTTTGTAATATCTAGGTAATATAAATGGGAATTCTAATGGAAACAATTCAAATGTTTGTTAGTTTGTCAGACTTTTACGCAAAATAGTTGAATGGATCTAAATGAAATTCTGCACAGATTTATAGTCTGGAATACTGTTTATCATCTATACTTCTATACTAATATTACAAAGTTGTAACATTTTGTAATTTGTAAGTTTGTATGTAGGGGGTAATCTTTGGAACCGCTGGTCGGCCTGCCAAAATTATTTCACTGAACGATGCAATGTTCCTGAACGCTGTAGGATATAAAACATCACTCGACTACCAATAGGAACCGAGCAGCGGGTGAAACCGCGTGCCAGTAGCTAGTTTATTATATAAAAAACCAATTACTACTTTCATTATAGGTCAAGGTCATCAAACTCGGGAACATCGGATAGTGAGTCCGACAGCGATTCGGAAAGCGGATCCGACAGCGAATCGGCTGGTTCCTCTGAATCGGCTGAAAGCAGTGACGAAGAAACCCCAAAGAAAAATGAAGTTAGTCGCGATAAGAAGGTATGTGAAGTAGATTTACTGTTGTAGAGGAAATGCTACCTTCTATCTTTGGTATAAGGTTTGGAATATGAAGTTTTTTTCTGTTGAAAGATAGATTGAGGTAAATTGGAACTTCTGTCTTTTGTGTAAGGTTTGTAATAGGAATGATGGTTTTTTTAATGACGAATTGAAAATTGAAATGTTGGTCTAGAGAAAGCTAGTTTTACTACCACGCTTCTGGTCTCAAGTTAGATCTTGGGAAATAATAATAAAATAATATACATAAACCGGTCAGATATTTTGTCGAAGTTCAGTACTGGCTCGCTTACTTAAACAATTTTCTTCTGCGGTCAAGAGGCAAACCACACTGGTCTGATTATTTAATAATAAGCAATTGCTGTCGCTTATAGGCACCCACAACATGAGTGGAGTTACCTTTAAATGCCAGCCTTTTGGGGTTAGGGATTTAAGGAGTGAAGTTTTGGGGATTGGGTAGAGATTGAACCTCCTTTACGCTCACTCACACGGCTGCACAAAACGTAAGCGTTGTTTCACACCGGTTTTCTGTGAGGCCATGGTATCACTCGGAGCTGAATGATTTATAACCTTATGTAACTTAGAGCTGTAGATGTTCAGCCAAGCGTAATGAGGCATCGCGGCCTCAGCCCAGAGCAAGAGAAGGAACGGAGGGTTTAGTCAGTAAGAGTCTGACACTCTCTCGCCTTTCCCAAGACGGGAGAAGTCTTTTGATAATACCTTCTTAAAAAAAGAAAAGCCTTGTGTAACTGAAAGAATTAAATTAAATAATGCTACTACTGTACCATCATTCCTATTAAATTACATGAAAAATTAGTTAAGTAGTTTTGTTTAGATCGAATGAATTAGTTTGTGTAGTTTAAAAAATATTGTACTTGCATGATATCATATAGTTATTATATTCTTTTTTATTTATGTATTTTATTTATTTATATTAATTTATTTGTATAGAAATAAATTGGTTTTTTGTATTTATTGGGTTTTTATTTTACACCTTTTCTATGCTTCTTTTATTTATTACGTTTCATTTGCACGTTTATTTTATGTATATTAATTATTGCTTATTTTATTTACTATTTCATATATTAAATTTATTAAAAATATATATTTTCATTATTATTTTGTTGATATTCTGTCATTCTTTTTCTTCATTTTTATTATCTCAATTTCATTAACATTATTTTAGAATATGTAATGTATATGTAATTTGATAAAAAAATCTATATTAATATTATTTCAATGTTCTAGCAAAATGCTCAACCTGCACCACCGAAAGAGGAACCGATGAAAAATGAAAAATCAAACCTGGAACTTTTGTTAGAGTTAGATGAAGTAGCTAGTTCGTTGCCCACTATGACGCCCACTTGTGGGGGATTCCTGTCACCGCCCAGTTTAGCGCCACAGGGGATTGGGGATGGTGAGTGAAGTTATATTGATATATTTAAATCACTACATAGTATAAAATAAAATTGCTTTCTCTGTCCTTTTCTATCTTTATTTGACTGCACGGTTGGCATAGTGGCTGGGCAACTGGATGCCTCGCAACGTGTCGCGGGTTCGATTCCTGCACAGTACAACTCTTTGTATGATCCACAAATTGTTATGTTGGGGTCTGAGTGTTATGTGTATGTGAAATTATATGTTTGTTAAGGCATCTACGATACAGGAGAAAATCCTAGTGTGAAGCAACGTTTGTATATAACAAAAGAAAGAAAAAGAAGACATGAATTGCCACTGTCACGAACAATACGGGTTCACTAAAGAACGATGCACAACTAACGCTGGTATAACTCAAATTGAACATGTATTCGCCTCGTGGGAAAAGACGCAGGACGCTATTGGAATATTTTGTGATCTATCGAAGGCTTTTGATTGCTTTGCACACTGGGTACTGTTTCTGAAATTGGAACATATCGGCATACGAGGAGCATCTCTCAATTTATTAAAATCATACTTCCCTTTCGTCCGTAACTCAGTTTCTTCCCTCATTAACTCCGGACCGGGCTATAGTGCGTTATTGCGTGTAAACTTGCAACCCAGCCAGGGTCTTCAAATGATATCTTCTTAAGTATTTATTTTGTCCTAGGACCCAAGACTCGTTATTTCATTCATCGGACTTCAGTGTTTCGGTGTTACTACGTTTGTATCGATTGAAGATCTTGGCTTACACAAGTTGTGTACAAGCTAAAGGATGTCGCAAGCTTGTTTCATTGTCAAAATCGCTTACTGTATATTCTTTTTTTGAGGAGGGAAAGTTGTCAAATGTTTTATCTCATATCTGGCCTAGAGTATGAAGAGAGGGAGTGTCAGACTCTTACTGGCTAAAAACCCCCCTTTTCTTCTCCTACTCTAGGCTGAGGCTGCCTACTGTACTGTTTCTTATTGCGCTTTACTCGCAATCCCGGCTAAACATCTGTTCTGTCGGGTCCCGTCTCTTGTGGTGTGGTCAATTAGCACTTTGAGGCACGAGCTGGACGCTACGTTGTCGGTCGGCGAGCTTCATTTGCTCGTAGACCGGCGATTATTGGACACCTTTGTGCTGACATAGAGTGTTTATCCTGGCAGCGGACAGCATAACCCCGGTGGGTCCGTCGTGGGTGAGCGTGGAGGGGCGCGAGGTGGTGCCGGGCGTGGTGTGGGGCGGCGTCAGCGTGGCGGCGCGCTGGCCGCGGGGGCCGCATCTATACTCGCGCGCCATGACTGCGCTCGACCTTAGCTTCTACAACCATACTAAAAACGACGTCACCAATATACGGATACACAAGAAGGTAACTAACTGATTGATTTACTGATGCAGTGGTTCCCGTCCAACGGTCCAACACGCCTTTTTTATGTAATAAGTCGGCAAACAAGCAGACGGATTACCTGATGGTAAGCAATCAGCACCACCCATGGAGGAGAGATTGGGTAAGAAGAAGAATTTAACCTCCGGTAAACCTCACTCACACAACGAAACACAACGCTGTGGTTGTTTCACGCCGGTTTTCTGTGAGGCCGTGGTATCACTCCGATCGATCCGACCCATTCATGCCAAAGGCATGGCTCTCCCACACGGAACAAGGAGATCCACAAACTGTTGCCCCGGGTCTAGGTGTGATTTGTTTGTAAACGCGTCCATAAAACAGAAGAAAATCCTAGTAAAAAGATGTTTTTTTGGCAAAAAATATAATGGTTTTGAGTCAAATTGAAATAATTATTTTAAATTGAACACTTAACAACTACGTGATTTTTTTAGAACTATCTAAATTGACTTTTTGTTATAAATGTTTTTAGAGATTGATATGATTTGTGTCTACATCGCTTTTCGTATCAAATAATATATATAGTTTCTTGAAAATTAGTTAGAACAATACAAATATTACCTAAGGACATACAAGCAATTAATAATATGTTTTTTGACATTCAATTTTGGAAATGTTATATTTCCAAAATTGAATCGTTTGCTTTGGTAATTTTAACATATAATATCAAGAAACTTATTATTAGCGATTCCCGACCTTTTTAAGTCAATTAACGATTTTTATTCAACCAATTGAATCCTGAATATACAATGAAAAATAGTATATTTTGATTTGAACGATCAAGTATATAATTATATACAGTAACATTACCTACCAACGTTCTTCCCGCAGACGCTGACAGGTTCCCGCAGCATCCACGACTTCTCTCCCATCCAGCTATTAGTACCCTCGGGCTCCGCCACTGTTACACTGGGCGTGGACTTTGCAGACTCAATACAACCCATCGAGTTTACCATCAACAGCTCTATAGGTACGTTATCTATATATTATTATATAAAAATCAATACCACTTTTCGTTGCAATGTGACTTATATATATGAGACTCAACAATGCCTTTGACGATTTGGCTAATTTTGGTCTTTAATTATTCGTGGAAGTCCAGAAAAGGTCTACGTACAAACGTAGAGAAAATTCCAAAAAAAATTAATAATAATTTCAAATTATAAGTTTGAAATCGCCAATCCTCATTGAGCAAGCATAAATGCCCTCTCCGTGTGAGACCAGAATGATTACTAAACTAAACTTTGTGTCTATTATAATATGATACATTATTGTTTTAACGTTCAATATTATCATTCTATTTTTTTTCAACGTGTTTATTGACAGAAATTTTGTACAATTAAGTTACCAGGGCTTCCCAAAAATTAATCCGACGATACTTGTGTGTCGAGATAGACCTTTCTCTTCTCATTATACAAATGTATGTTTGTAAAATCAAATTTAAAATCGCCATTTCCAGTTAATATTGAAACTTGTTACTATTTATTTGTCTATGTTTACAGGTGAAGTGCCTGTATCAATAACTCCCCCAGTGGGAGAGCTGATGAGGGCAGTGACCATGTCACAGGCGCGGTGGGACTCCGAACACAAGAAACTTAGAGGAATGACTGAGGTACGGGCCCCGTAATGATCAAAAATTGTCTTTTTTTACTATTAGTAGATATACGCCTACTTACCGCACACTTAATTGATTTATTCCATTATATTATTTGAACTATCACCAATTGAGTGTTGGTGTATAACTTGATTTTGTTGCATTACTTTTACATTTTTTTAATAATAATTGTCAGGTCTGGAGAGGCTAAAAACTACGTAATAATTCATATTTCTATTTTTATTTTACCGTGTATTAATTGTGTTTGTGTACGTGGAATGTACTTTTTTGGCCATGTCTTTTCTTCTTAATTTTTTTTTTTTTTTTTTGTTAAATTGTGTGTGATAGTAATATGGACCTTATTGCAGTGTGACAAGAAAACGGTAAAAATTGAAGACGAGCAGTTGATCTGTAAGCGAGTCTTCGAGACAGCCAACGTGGCTGCCATCACGTCTACCGGTGACTTCCTTAGGTAAGGCTTACAAACTGTTATTAAGCTACTCAGAAATACTAGTGTGCAAGGACAATAATAGACCGGGGACCCCCCAGTCCGCACCAAGCGAACTGTTATAGAAATGGTGGTTCGGAATATATGTCCAAATTACCAAAACATTTAAGTACACCCTCTCATACCGCCCAAAGAAAATATTATTATTAATTTTGTAGAATTGATTGCACGGTTGGCGCGGTGTCTGGGCAACTGGCTGCGGCTTAACGTGTCGCGGGTTTGATCCCCGGAACAACTCTTTGTGTGATCCACAAATCGTTGTTCCGGGTCTGAGTGTGATGTATATGTGAAATAGTATGTTTGTAAACGCACACAGGAGGAAATCCTAGTGTGGGGAAACGTTTTTTTATAGAAAAAGAATATGTAGCGGTAGAAATCATTTTCTCTAACCTTAAATCCCCTATAATATCGTATTAAGACGTCTATATGTGTGGCGCCGATCGCTTACCATCAGGTTTGATATAAAAATTCTTAATTACTATAGTCTATCTAATTATGGAAGTAAAAAAGTAGTTCAAAAAAGTAATGATCGCGGTATTTTGTCTATATCTGTTCCTGAAGTGACATGAAGAAACATGTATAATAATGTCGGCTATATATGTCATTCTACCTCCACAGGTTCGCGGGTCGCATGATGTCCTCCCAGGACCTGGTCCTCTTGTCAGTGAGGACGGAGGAGGCCAACTCACGAGTCACAGCCAACTGTGCCAACATGGCCATAGCGTCACTCCTCGCCAATGAAGTCGCTCAAGCCTTAGGGAGGTCCTAAATAACCAGAAGTGGTAATTGCTCACAGGAAAAACTTACGACCATAAAATTATATTGATCATTGATTTATGATAACTTTATTAAAATTTTCGAGCTTGCTCGGTTAGTTTTGGGCTCGTCTGATTAATTTCGAGCTTGTACAGAGCTCTTTAGACCCAATTGAAAGATGTTGGATGATAAATATGGATATATTAATGTTGTATTGATGTATGTAATCTTTTTATTTAGTAAAAGTATGTTCTATGTATGTTTTTAACTTGATTGTTTGTAATGTTGAAGAAATGCCTTTTTTATGGCCTCTTATGAAGAAAATAGATTTTCTATCTAAGTTAGAAATTACTCGAAAAAGAAAACAAGTTATAATTATAGACATATCTAAGGAATTGAACTGAATCTAGCAGTGAGTTTATGGATGCTGCCTTGTTGAGCTGTTAGCGTAAATGCATTATGATTCTCAGGTCTGAAATTTAGCCCAGTCTATGTTAATCTCACCATTATTATATGGATGTTGTTTCTGGAAGATAGCTAGATGGTAATTATGCCAAAGTTGAAGTCAAATCATTTATATATCGAAGTCAAATGGACCACTATAGACCTTAGACTTATAAATGACAAAAAAAAAACAAAAAGTTCAACTTTGTGTGTCAATATGTCGGCCTGTCTTCTAGTGAATATATTTGCTCGTTCCAAAGTGTAGATTCTTATGCAATAGAACGAGCAAGAAACAACAGTTTCAGAATAATTTTTTTTTTTGTTACATCATTTAGCTGGTTCTGTTATGTGAGAACAGTGTAACACTAATAAAAAAACTATGTTTTTTATTACCTAATACATAATAAAATACTTAATTCTTTTTATCATATTATTAATGATTTAAGTACTTAGTTCATTCCATTTATTTTTATTCTTTTCTAGTCATATGACTGCCGTTAGCTAGAATCTGACTTCAAGAAGAAAATTTATAAAAATTGTTGCCGATTTGAAGTCCGTCTAAAAGTGATGCAATTATGGAGTCTATTTCTATAGAACTAAGGTAGATAATTAAATAAAATCCTTCCTGTCTGCTAACTCTAAGTACATATATTATAAATGCTATTATAATGAAATAAATATCTTTGTACTTCTAAAACTGAAGTTTAATTTCACTTTTTGTATCATTTATCTGCAAAATATAGTATATTGTATTGTTTCCTTGTCGATTGGCCTACTTGGCTGACATAAAATTATATCAAAGGCATTATTTATTTCAATTAGACCACTAAAAGTCAAAATATATAAAAAAATAACAACACACTGAATAAACTATGAGTTAATGTCAACACTATATCAATATGAAGTCAAAATCATTTATTTCAAACAGGCACTTTTGAACGTCAAGGAAAAAATATATAGAAAGGTTTAACTTTATGTCAGTCCATCCGTCTGTCCTCTAGTGAAGTTATTTCAGCTTTATAACGAAGGAGAAGGGATCTCAAAGTTATAAATAGGGTCCATACTTCTTAATTTAATGCTGCGGGCATCTGTAGGTGATTTTGGAGCAATGGAATACAATAGTATTTTATTATGTGATAGGTCGGCAAACGGATTATTACCTGATGGAAAGCAATCAGCACCACCCATGGACACCCGCAACAACGAAGGTGTTATGAGTGCGTTGCCGATAGGGGAGGGGAAGGATTGGGCCTCCGGTAACCTCACTCATACGGCGAAACACAATACTGTGGATCTTTCGCGCCAGTTTTCTGTGAGGCCGTTGTATCACTTCGGTCGACTCGACCCTTTTGTGCAAGATAAAGACGGTTATATTTGGAAGGTAATAATTTCAGAAGATTAATGTAATTAAGATATGTATTATATTAAGATATGTGTTAAGTTGCTATTCGCTATAGGCACACGCGAAAGTTTTAACATTTAACCACACTAGCTGGCTGCCTCTCCACAAAAGTCCAACGGACCGCTCAACCGGTGAATCATTGACTCCAGAGCTGGGGTTCACCGATGACTCTCATGAAATATTCTTGTATGAAATCCTAGAACGTTGGATTAATAAATGCGCCTTTTACTATGTATAGTATAATGTGTATTATTATTTTGTATCCCCAAAAAAGGTTATGTTTTGCAGTAGACAAATAATAAACAGTTTATATACAGAGCATGTATTTCTTTACACACTAACAATATAGCCCTTTGAGATTCAAATTATTCTTACATCTACATTTTACAGTATTCAAGGTCATACTAGCCAAAAACTTACCAGTCTAAGTGCAGATACTTCAAATGATGATACTTTGTGGGGAACAATGAAATGACTGACAGAAGACATTTTTATATTACTAATAATGCGTCCGCCTGCGTGGTATGTTGATAAAAAGGCCTACAATACCGTCAACGTATCTTGGCAAGTCTGAAGTTAGCCGATTAGCTGCGCAGTACACAATTTTGTTCCTAAAAGATCCATTGCGTAGACAAACGGCTAACTTCAGACTCGCCAAGATACGTCAGCCGTACTGCATGTGTTAATCTAGGGTATCACCTATCTACATACCAAATTTCAACCAAATCGGTCCAGCTGTTTTTGAACATACATCTATACATTCTCACATTTATAATATTATAGTAGGATAGGACAGGATTTGTCATTCAAAGGTCCCTTGATTTGTACAAGAAGCTGTTTGGCACTGGTGATATTCATAAATTATGTTTATTACGTAATTTTTAGACGAGGTAGCTCGACCGATTTCAAGTCACTACAGGGTCTCATATTCATGGGTAGCGTTGCGCAACAAACTATGAAGACTGCACTGATACTGAGTAAGAAATTCGACTAGTATTTATAAAATGTCTTTTGAAATTAATCGTATAAATACAATACTTAGCTTAACAAAAACATAATTATTCAGGATGATTATCTATATAATTACAAGATTTTTCTTCAGAATTGTATCAAATAAAATGTAATAAATTGCTTGCGGCTTATTTGATATGCAGATAAGCAAATAAAAATTGATTTCGTACAGACAGTAACCATTGTTTGGCTACTAATGGACAATTATTATAAAAGTTATAACTTCATTAAGAACTATATATATTTTATAGTCTCAAGTCCCAAATTATATAATTAAATGTTTCAATACAATGTCAATTTTTAAGAAATACGTAAAACTATTTTATGTAAAAAATACTTTGACATCATAATTTGGTGTTATACAAATTTCATAGAATAGATAGAAAAGTATAGTTTTTGATATTTGAATTATTGTAGTATTGAATTTGACTAGGTGGAAACTACCGTTATTTAGCGTAGCTTATTATCTCTGTACGAAACCAATCTTTATTTTCTTATCTGCTTACCAAAGAATTGGAGATTATAATTAACTAATATTATTCATTAAATATTAAATACATTTATAAGGGTCAGTGTGATAAAACATTAATTTTATATCTCTGAATTCTGCTAGGTAATATCTACCCAGTGATTAAAAACTATTTAACCTAAGTTAAATTATATAAAAAATATTATACAAAAGGAATTTAAGGTATACCTATGTCACTTCTACGAATTATTTTTTTACATTTATGCACCACAAAATTCATTAATAATTTATATCAAATAATAATCTCAAAACACATTGGAAAAATTAATTTTTAAAATACTTATTTATAATCATTGTGCGTGATTGACCATTCACATCTTCGTCAAGAACCAACATACATCCTTATTTTGTTATAAAATTGTCAAAAAATCATGCAAATGAAAACGAATAAATGACCACATCAATAAAATAGAAGGCGAAGCATTATTTTCGTGGAAGGAACCATTATTACCGCTTGATAATATCAATATGTCCAGTGTAAGAAAAAAAAGTTTATATAACATTTTACAAATAGGCTAAAATAAAATCCTAGCTACGACCACTTCAGATCATCGTCTACAAAAATACGTGCCTAAATAATCTCTAGAATAAACTATTACAGACAATCCATGTTTCCTATCTCTTGAAAATAACGACTCACGTGAAATAACTGGAGAAGCTCAACTAGTTTCAAGTCACAATGGGACTCTTAAGCGGCCAGAGTAATGCCCGGTTTCCGAAAGCCCGATCAATGTTAAAATCAACTAACTAGGTGTCAAATCTCTTGTCAAGTCATCTGATTGGTTGTTGATAATTCAATCCACCAATCAGATGACTTGACAAGAGATTAAATTGATTTTAACATTGATCGGCCTTTCGGAAACCGGGTGTAAGTAGGTCTTTTCTCAGTTATTTCAAGTAATACGTTAGTATTCAAAAATTACCAATCTCATTCAATTTCAGGATTAAATGGTCCCGATGCGGGACTTGGCGGCCATTGGAGTAAAATACAGGTTTTGTCGCTATGCGTACCTTGGAAGACTGTCCTCTGAAACTCTCCCTCAGTGTTGAGGGTAATGACCCCAGCCGGGCGGCATACCTAAACTGTAAGTGGGAGTAGTCATTGAGATGATGCGAGGCCTCTTACTCATATCCTCATGATGAGGTTGGTGCATCTGCTGCTGATGGTGATGCTGCTGCGGGGGAGGCTGTGGAGGCTGGTGATTTTCTATTATCCTGTCCTTCTTCGACATTCGCTTTTTAGGAGCCCCACACTCGGGCACAATACGACGTTCATTCCACAGTCTTTCCACCAAAGCTGCTCGCGCCTGGATTCCGTTAGCATCCTCGACTTGCTTCCTCGGTATGGGACCGTTGGCTACCTTCTGTTTCATGGCTTCTAATCGTTCTTCAGTCTGTGTCATAGGCACGGGCGGTATGCCACGTCGGTTGCATATGTTATGCAGTATGCAACACGCTACAATCATCATGGCGACTGTTGGAGGATCGAATTGCTTATTACAGTTTGCTTGGAGACATTTCCACCTGCTTTTTAATTGTTTTATGGTGTCAGTGACGACGCTATGTGCCTGTGCGTGTACGTTTGTGTAGTACTTCTCTGGAGATACGGGCGATTTCTTTGTTATTTTCGGTATCGGTGTCATTATGTATTGCTTCTGTGTGTAGTGTGGGCCTCCTAGAAAATTCAATGAAACAATGTGTTTATTTTTGTTAATAGTCCGTAAAACTGCACTTTTACGAGTCAAATTCAATGAAAACATTCATAAACTATCATATTAGGCTATAGAATACTCCGGTTGCACTTTTTTTCCCAAATCCACTGCAACTCTGTAAGGCAGGGTCTACAGTAGATAAAACCATGAAAACACCGGAACACTGAAGTCCGGCGCGTCCCAGGGACATGAATGACTGACTTGGATCCCGCAACGAAATGAATCAGAAGGTTGAATCTGGTTGCACTTGTAAGAAAATTAAAGTTTATACAGAAAGGGGTTGAAAAATTCATATATCAAAGTTAGAAATAATAACTGTATGAGAACACATCCGAGAGCAAAAAATCAATTGAGATTTTACTTTAAAATAGCTCTTCTTTATAATTTAGAACTCTTTGTAAACAATGTGACAATAATAATAAAACAATTTTTAAGACTCATTTACCAATAAGCCAGCATGGTTCTCCGGAGTTGTTTAAGCTGTCTAGGTCGACCCTGACAGCGTGTCTGTTGAGCACATTATCGTGAGAGTAGGATCCGCCCGCCGTGGCGTCCACACTAATTATTGTTAAGTCACTATCACAGATCTGTGGGAGAAGGTAAGAATAATATGAGAGATTTTATCCTATTTAAAAAAATATATTTGCTTCTATGATAAGACTACAGATACTTACAACTTGCACCTTCTTGGAATGGTAAGACTTGTTGAAGTGGCTCTTCTGGTCATCATCAGGCCGCGCCATGGGCACGTGAGTGCACTCCACACATCCTACCACATTCGGAATACCATACTTCATGTAAAATCTGAAATAAATAATAATTTTGTTTATCAATTAATTAGTTTTTTTTATGTACTTTCTTCCAGATAAATCTTATGGGTACTTAGCCAATATCTTTTTTTTGTTTTAGGTAGGCATAAAAATAAATTAATAAAAAGTGTTGTAGGTAAGTTTAAATTGTGATGAACAAATCAACTGTTAAACTGGTCCCATTATTGCGCTACCAGCATATTGCAGGTTCAATTATCACACTGAGTTCACAAGTTGTTGTTTGGGTCTGAGTGTATTATGTACGTGAAATTTTAAGTTTATGAACTTATTTATATATTTATGTTAATACGGATTAGATCCAATTAAAAACCAAAAACAACAAAAATTTACAGCATTCATAAGTTCGTCTTGCAGCACCTCATGCAATCCAATGAATGGACCCAATTACACAAAAATATATCTACAGGGCAAAATTTAAAAAGCAAATTGTTTATGATCTTAGTGTACAACATGATTTCAAAGAAATCAAGAAACATTACACACATGGAATAGGCTATAGCCTAGTATGAATAAAAAAAAATCTTAGCATCTAACCTGGCCTTAATAATATCACGTTCCTGTCTCAAATGCGGGAAGTGAATGTATTTCTTGACTATTGAGGGGTGGTTCATGGCCTCTGTGACCTGTAACACCGCAGTAGCCACAAAGTATTGTGTGATACTCGGGTCACTTTTCCCCCCTATAGATTTCTGATACTTTCCCGTCGCATAGAATGCCAAAGCTGCCATTACCTGTAAGTAAATATAAAATTTGAATTAATTAAGGTCTATAACATATATGGAGGGAGGTCTGCAAACATAACTAAAAAACATATATTATGTTTTTTGATACTTATTTGCTTTAATCCTAAGGCCTGTTTACAAATAAAACATTTATAAACAATTTAGTGAAAAACTATTCACAAACTTAATGTTCCTTGGGAAAGAAGTGCAACAAATTGTCAACTATTTGAGGTGATTAACCCGGCTGCGAGTGGCAACGACAGGACAACTTAACATCTACTTTCTATAATCACAATGCACTTAGTACTTACTTTACTTTCAACAGAAAATTCAATGGATTTTGTAGAATCAGGCATCACTGGTTTTAATTCCTCACACAAGTTTCGCGCCAAATCCTTTGATAATCTATAAGTTTCTATAAAAGAAGGTTCATTCAAATCAAAAGGGTCACAATCTGCTGGCTTCGGAACTCTTTTCTCGGGACTCTTTGGTTTTTCAATGGGAATGGGCCGCTGTATCTGTTCCGGTTTCTGTGTATGTTGTGACGAATCCCATTTTAGTAACTCGAAAATCTCAGGCTCTTCGTCCACTACCGATATGTAACCTTCCTCTGGTGGTTTTTCAGCCATTTTTACTGTATATAAAGTTTATTTTGAAATAAAATAAACGCAGCTTGGATTTTTGTTTGTCAAGCTAGTTTTGACGTTTATGTCAAATGTTGTCATACCAACAAAATGCAGTTTCTACCATTTATGTTGTTTGAGTTGAGGTTACAAGTGTAAAATATAAAATGTCAGAATTCATTTGAAATTAACCTGCGAAATTCAAAATCATAAATTCTAATTAACGCCACACACCATGGCCAAAGTTATTTTTTATGTGACGGGCGGCTAATGAGCATAATTATGCCTGATGGTGAGCAATTGACACCGCCTAAGGATCCCGCAACAACAGAGCAGTTACGACTAACGAGTGCGTTACCGGCTACGGCATTTTGGGAGTTATGGAGGTGAGGATTGAGAATAAGGGCTCATTCTTTCTGTGAAAGACAACGCTAGCAATACTCTAGTCAAGCACATTTGTGCCGAAGCATGGCTGTCCTAAATTAATTTTAAATTCTTCATTTATTTCCAATATCATCCACATAATGCATAACAATGATCGTCATAATTATCTAACATATCCATTCATAATAGATGTGTACCTCACATCTGTTCTCCTAAAACAAATCAATAAGCGATTTTATAAATCTAACTCGTTTCAACTCTTAGTCGGGGGAAAGAATGACATCATGTGTCTGGCGCCAGGTTGGCGAGACAGTACACATCGTTATCCGTATTTTTTATACGTTAGGTACCTATCCATAGGTAGATACCCAATGACATTTTATCCCATTAGGCCCTTTCTCGAAACTTTACAATATGCCCCATACATAATTTGTTGTGGTGCTTTCTTAGATATGGTTAGACTTCGAAAATGTACCTAAATTGGTACGACTAAACTTCAATATATTTTAAATCGTATCACGTACCGTTGTTTTACTTATACGTACAGAATTCGATGAAATAAAAGTCGGTAGCCATAGCCATATTCTATTTTTGAAAAATTAAATACCTATACCTAACTTTATAATTCATTCCATGTGTTGGTAGCTATTTTCGGTAGTTGGAGTTGGAACTTGGACTAATTACAAGTCCTTAGATATAAAATGGACTACAGATTGTAGACTGTTGCGATGTTGGAAGTTAAGACTCTAGTTTCTCATGCACGAGGGTGTGGCTTTAAACTTGGCAAATAGGTACCGATGTAGGTACGTAACTTTACGAGTTACAAATACCTCTGACATATGTACCTACTGTGAAGGAAAAACGCTCTCCTTGTGAAAAGCGGCTTTCGCTCAGCAGTGGGCACTTATAGGCTGACGACATTCGGCGATATAACTGGTCTAAGTGCATGGGTACTCTCTACAAATCAAGCCATAGTAAACGTTATTAGCGGACCTTTGAATGTGCGGAAATATCATTGAAAACGAGATCATGATAAATTGGTTTGGTATTATGTGACTTGATGTGTACTACAATGGTTAGGCACATTCCACCCGTACTATACGTCACACCACACTGTCATGAGCTCATGGGAGTAATTTATTTGAAACGTAATATCCATAGTTTATGACTGAAATTGGCTCGACCCATTATTAGTATTACCGGCGAGGGTGGTGGTTTCAAGCACCATGATATAGCTACACCGTGGTCCGGTTTGGAGCAGAACAAAGAACAGGTAGGATTTTAGTTAGTAGGTAAGAGTCTGACACTTCATTTAAAAAAAGCCTTGCGCCATAATTTATAGAATTTTCCCCTGTCTGAGTCACGAGGAACATGAACATGATTTTGTATATCAATCCCAACCGGTCCAAAATTGCTCCCTTGGGGCAACCGACCTCACGATGTGTGCAGTCAATGTCAAAATTAAGAGTTATTACCTAAAAGCGTTCTGTTGTTTATGAAGAACTACCATGTTGATCTTTTATTCCTTAAAAATCCTCTATGACGGGGCATAGCGAAAAGGTAAGTGTGGGAGAGCCATGTTTCGACGAGAATAGGCGGACGCTACGGCTCGACCACGGCCTGAAAAAACCGGGGTGAAACAACCACAGCGTTGTTTTTCGCCGTATGAGTGAGGATATCGCAGGCCCAATCCGTCCCCTCCCCCTATCTCTCCCCAATTCTTAAACCTCTAAAACCCGTTATCCCCATAATGTCGGTAATGCACTTATAACTCTTGTAGTGTTGCTGGTCTCAATGCGCAGCGCTGATTGCTTACCATCAGGTAATCCGTCTGCTCGTTTGCATCACATAAAACGGGAAGACATGGAGATATCAACTACTTAAGCAACTTATTTGAATTATTTAATTCATCGTGTACATAGGTTTATGTATTAGTTCCATTATCATTATGGAAGCGCCCTTATTTTCGATATTAACCTTAATACGATCTGTTTTCATAATAATGTTATTTCTACCAATCATGGCTAAAAATACTCATTCATAATTTCGGAGTTACGGCATTTTTCACTAGTCTTGCGTCGGACGCGCTTGCGGTGTGACGCATTGTTATTTAGTTTATTTATGTATTTATTTCATAATTAGCCGTAACACGAAATATTTTGTGAAACAATTAATTGATATAAGTGTGATTATTAATATTATGTGAAGTTATTGGATTATTTTCTTCTATTTTATTTAAAAAACGGTAAGTATGTGCTACAAGTTTTTACTTTTTCGCTTTGTGTCGTTTATCAGCGTGTTATTAAATTAAATTCAGCCGTGAATTTGATTTTGATGTTTGCTGATTAAAGTATTTTTTCATTTAGTAGATTAATATCGTAAAATAAAAATACCTACCGACCATCTGAGAATTAAAATTAAAATATTGATTTAGGTACATTGGTGATTAAATACAAATCGTAAAGTTCCCGCCTTTTTTTTCTAGACTAAAACCAAAAATATCGACACAAATTCACCTGTCATTTTAGAGTATATTATAATAGGGACAAGTGTATTACGAAGCACTACTTACCTACCTATAATTTTGGACATTATACCTACCAAACCTACCAAAGGTTATCAGTGAACCTTGTAAACCGATTGGCTTGATTGGACGATAATCTTGTACCGAGTTGTGTGTTTTATGGCGTCCCATTTTACAACCATTAAGTTTTATTTTTATCACACACATATGTTACTACAATACTCCAGCGATGTCCAATGACCCCGAATAATAGTTTGTAAAGATTTCGTTATATGTACTTTCTACAATTATTGAAACACCACATACAGTGAAGGAAAAACATCGTGAGGAAACCTGGACTTATATCTGCCTTGAGCAAGCGTGGTGATTAATACTCAAACCTTCTCCGTGTGAGAAGAGGCCTTTGCTTGGCAGTGGGCACTTATAGGCTGATGATGATGATGTTGATGAAGATTTCGTTTAACCTATACCGTATGTTATCACCATGTATTAGTAGATAGGTCTGTACAAGTCTACAGGTAGGTACAACACAGACACTTAAGAACCGATCATACGACACGATTATTCGGGACTCCGGGCGGTCGGGACCTCTCGATCGCTTGATTTAGGGATACTAACACAGCCTAACAGCAATAATACGCATGTTTAATATAACACAGAACTAACAATAACAATAAGAAAAATGTTTTATTCAATTACAACAACAAAATCAATTAAAAAAACCTTGTTGACGATATAACAAATAAAATTGATCGACTTCTGAAGTTCCGTTAAACAAATTCTCTTACTAATATTATTATAAATGCGAAAGTAACGATGTTTGGATGTTTGTTCATCAATCACGAAAAAACGGCTGGAGGATAGGTATGGATAAAATTTGGCACAGGCATAGGATACACTCCGGAATGGGCCAAAGGCTACTTTTTATTAACATACCAGGCGAAGCCGCGGGCGGAAGCTAGTCTATAATATAATTATGCACGTGGTATTATAGGCACCCTCACCGTGTTTCGTCGTGTAAGTGAGGTTATCTGGAGCTCAATCCTTAAATGCCTATTCCCAAGGCCGGCAACGTCTGTGGCCTTTTACAACTGCTCGATTGCTGCTCTATATATCCCATTATTGAACTTAATAACTGTTGCTATCTGTACTCTGAAGCAATGAATAATGGGTACGGAAATTTCCTCCGTCCGTTCTCCAGAAAGCAACAGGTGTAATGTTTATGTTATGGCCTGTAAAAAAATATGAAATATAACTGTTTTTCATCATCATCATCAGGTAAACATAGATTACACAAGAACGAAGATTCGGTTTCTAATTTTAGACTTTGTAGTGTCTTTTCATATAAAGGCTGCTGGAAAATATCAATGTGACTTTTTCCAAGTACTATATAATTTCTTCTATGATTATATCGTGAACACAAGGTGAAAGAAAACATCGTTAGGAAACCATTTTAGTTGTTGTGGGTGGTAGAAAATCTTAAAATATTTCTTCTGGTTCTGGTTATGGCTTCATGAAAGACGGGCTCTGGCAGAGAAAACATTTCTTAGGTACCTATAATATTTTTTAAAAACAGATCCCAAAAATATTTTTAGGAAGTGTTGCAGAGCCATGCTTTCACAACGAATAAGCCGGCACGACCTAAATGATATCACGGCCTAACAACACCGGCGTGGAACAACGCTTACTTGTTTCGCTGTGTACCTAGGATAGGTGAGTTAGGTTAACGTCATCCTTGAAAACCTAACCACCAAAATGCCTGTAAAGCACGAAGGCTCACCATCGGGTTATCCGTGTGCTCAGTTTCCGAATTATATCAATATAAAAAAGAATGAGTACAAACTCTGTATCCAAGCGATAACTATAGCTGTCATAAAATACAAGGTCAGCTGTGTTTACAATTTGATTAAGTAACAGTTACTATGTACTTACTAACACATATTTACTGTAACAATAAATAGTTGTACAATATACAACGCGTCATAAAAACTCTGACCCATTTCGAACATTTATCTCCCGTTGATAAATGTTCGAAATGGATTGGCACAGGTTTCCGTATATTTTTTCCAAAATCTTGGAGAATCCCTAACCGTATTGATTGAATCTGTGCTTATTATAATAGACATTATAAAAAGAAAAAGAAAACTTAATTACATTTGCGAAAAAGAGTTTACAGAAAGGCAATTTTAATTGTCTTGACTAACTTAAACTAACTTATAGCAGCTATTTTAAATAACGTTTCGAATCAAATTTCAAATTTTATATTTCGATTTTCAAAAAATCATCTAAATTGTTGTATGTCGAGTCTATTACAAATAAGTAAATGTTTTAATGTTTTTGGCTTACTTACATATTAATTTTATTGGCCAGTATTGGTTCCTTTTAAGACTTCTAAATTTTAATAGACAGGCACTTTGTCTAGTAATCCAGTCCAAGATCCCTGGCTGACTAGCTCATAATCATTCGAACACCGGGAGATCTATGTTAAAATTATAAAGAGGTAAAATTTGCAATTTGTAAGTTTGTATGTAAGAGGTTATCTTTGGAAATGCTGGTCGGATTTCCAAAATTATTTCACTGAACGATAGCTACAATGTTTCTGCGTGATTTAGGCTATAAAACATCATGCTACTATTAAAGGCAGTCGAGCAGCAAAGCCGCGCGAAAGAAGCTAGTATTGTGTAATTATTTTGAAACATTAATTTTCACAGCCCCGAGAATGCGTCTAGGTATGCATAACAATTGAAATGCAAATAGAATTTAAACAAATTACGTCCTGCACTTAAAACAATACAATAGCTGCATATTTAGTGAAGACTAAATATTTAATAATCACATACAAAACTCTCGGTGAAACAGCGCTAGTGTAGTTTCCCGCTGTTTTCCTGAGAGGTTGGTCGAACCGACCCATTCGTGCCGAAGCATGGCTCTCCCACACTTTGTAATAAATTGTTCCCTTATCAAGCACATGGGAAAACTTTTTAATTAATTAAGGTGTTTACAAACAACGGTAGGGTAGGTAGGTGCTTGTTCTATCTGCCTAGGTAGTTGTGTAGATACAAAGTGAATGATAATCGTTAAGCGTTTTTTTTGTCAGGGGAAAATCATCCAATGACTTCTCCCGCCCAGGCCGGGCGGAAGGGAGTGTCAGACTCTTACTGACTAAAAACCCCCCATTCCTTCTCCTGCTCTGGGCCGAGGTCGCGGTGCCTCATTGCGCTTACCCATTGGTCTATTGGCTCTTTGAGGCGCGCGCGGAACGCTACGCGCCATACGCTCGGGATCGTTAAGCGTTCAAGATATTTCTGACCGCTTTTGACGCAAAACACGCTTAATTTTTTAATAAGTAATGTTAGTTAGTAGAAATGCGAACGTGTTACTAAACGTGAAATTTTGTAAGTATGATTAGTAGATGTATGTTAGTCCTTCGATTAAAAAGTAGGTAGTAGCCTATTGAATGGATGTTGATGAAAACTGACACAGATATAGATTATAGTCTAGAATTAATCTAGACATAACCGCTTTTCATCAGGGTGAACACGGGCGAAGTTACTTGCTTATGCCAATAAAATTAATATGTAATTTAGGTATACCAGCCAATGTCATATAGGTATGTTCTAATAATTGTAAAAAAGACGATAAAGACGAGCTAAGAGGAGTTTATGGAAAAAATATAATTATTAAACTTCGTTTTTCAAAATAAATCCAATTTTAAATTCAACTGCAATTGAACCAAACCTATATTTTTTTGCTATATTTATTTATTTTTTAATTATTGATAACACAAAACAACAAATATTATATTTATGTGTTTATTAACCTGCTTATTTATCTGCAGTGTAATAGACAAGGTCATTTATAGACTTTCAACCTTTTTCCTTGTCATAGTGGCTCAAAGGTTTGGGCGTCCGCTTCTTATGCATCAGGAACACGCACGGTTCGAAGCTGGACAAGGACCAATGTGACTTTTTCCGAGTTCTGTGTACTTTCTATGATTATTTAGACACCACTGACGAACGGTGAAGGGAAACGTCGCAACGAAACCTGGACTTAAAATGTGTAATTATAAGTTTGAAATCGCCAATCCGCCTTGAGTAAGCGTGGTGATTAATGCTCAAACCTTCTCCGTGTGAGAAAATGCCTTATAGGCTGATGATGATGATGCAACCTTTTTCGTTTTTGTCTTAGGTACTTTTCGCGTGTTGATATAACACAGTTGTATATCTATCTATCTTTAGACATGTTTATTAGTTTTGGTAATGTTTAATGTGATAACATGTAATCGCTGTTACAATCTATGATAGCGGTTAAATGCTACCTAAATGATAATATAAATGTTACCTTGAGTGATATAATTTTATAGTTAAGTTGAGCCTTTTTTATTAGTTCCCCGTTTTCGCACGAGTGCAATGAGGTTTCTCCACTATTTAATTGCCGTTATCTATACTATTATTATAAAGAGGTTAAACTTGTGAGTTTGTATGTAGGGGGTAATCTTTGGAACCGCGGCTGGTCGGATTGCCAAAATTCTTTCACTGATAGATAGCTACAATGTTCCTTAGTGCTATAGGCTATAAAACATCACGCTAGGATTAAATGGAACCGAGTAGCGGGTGAAACCGCGCGAGAATAGCTAGTTATACATATATGGCTTTCTGTTCAATCACTCTATCACTTAAAAACACTGCATCAAAATACGTTGTGTAGTTTTAAAGATTTAAATATACGTGGGATATAGGAACAGAGGATGCGACTTTGTTTTATACTAAGAAGTGATTTGTCTAACGTTTATTACTGTCAGTTAATAAAATGCAAAATAGAACAGTAATAATAAATGAATATTTAGTAATTGCCATTTAACTGCTTCGAATCTGATAGTAATAATGGTGGACTTTAGGATTTCGATCGTTCTTACAAAATGCGTTGATATGCGCATAACTCAAAAATGCCTTGAACAATTTTGCCAATGCTTTTTTAGAAATGTAGGGGGTAATATCGGGAATAGATCCTCCTTTCGAATTTTCTGTCATTTGCTAACAAAATAAATGGCTCGACACCCAGGTGAATAAATACTCGAAGGCTTTGTAATACTTTTTAATAAAAGAAAATATATTTTTAAGCGTCTTAAAATTATTATTAAAAAAAGCCTTCGAGTAGGCTTTGTAATACTTTTTAATAAAAGAAAATATATTTTTAAGCGTCTTAAAATTATTATTAAAAAAAGTCTTATGTAATATACATTTAAGATAGTAATTCCTTCGCAATAACTTTAATATTGTAGCTTTAACCAATCTATCAAAGTGGTCACGCGGCTCCTGTCTCAAGAATGACAGAGACAAACATATATTTCAAATTAAACAATTTTATATTTAGAATTCACCCCTCACTTTCGAACATGGCACTATGAAGAGTAATTTGTACTTATCGATAGACAGTGATCGACTTTGCATTTTAGACCTTATATTTATGGTGTCAGAAATGATTAATGATTGTTTATGTAGTCATTATCGATTTTTCTGATGTGTTTGAACTATCTATTCATTACTAGCTTTTTCCCGCGACTCCGTTTGCGTGGAATAGTAACTTCCTTCAGATTTTTGGTATAAAAACTATCCTATGTCCTTTTTCGAGTTCTAAACTATGTTTGTACCAAATTTTACAGAAATCGGTTCAGTAGTTTAGGCGTGAAGAAAGACAGATAGACAGACCGACATTATATAACTTTCGCAGAAAGATTTTTTGGATTGTAAAGATGTAATTGCCCTTCGGTTTATCAAAAGAGTCCATCGCGCTCTCTCAAAAACCGATTTTTACTAAGTTTATAGACATAATATAGTAAAAATCGGTTTTTATATAACGCGATAGACATACTGTACATAAGTGTGGCAAACCATGCTTCGGCACAGAAAGGTTGTCTCGACCGGATAATACCACGGCCTCACAGAAAACCGGCGTGAAAGTACCACAGCGTTGTTGTGTTTCGTCGTGTTAGTGAGGTTATCGGAGGCCCAATCCTTCCCCTCCTCAATTCTTAAATATCCTAATTCTTATCCCTAAAAGGTCGGCAAGGCATTTATAACTCTTTCGTTGCTGCCGTGTCCGTGGGCGGCGCTGATTGCTTACCATCAGGTAATCCGTCTACTCCTATGCAGTTCTATATCAAAACATATAATCAAAAACGCGGATGAAGTCGCGGATATAAGTTAGTTTGGTATAGATATGTAGGTATGTACATATAATTAATCAATGGCGTTGCCTTGACAAACGCCCAAACATTTTACTGTCATTTTAAATCAAATTCCAAGAACGTTAGACTAGAATAAGTTCATATTATCATAGACAGAGTTTATTGACCCCTTCACGGTCACGCCCCACGATCACTTAGTGTAGAATTGGGGGTGCCTAATATTCTGTTGAGCATCGTAAGTCACTTTCTGACAAAGGGGGTGCAAAAACTGTTATAGGCTGTGACAAAATAGACAATAGGTAGCATGTTCCCTGATACCACATCATCAGCTTAAAAGTGCCCATTGGGTAGCAAAGGCCTTTTCTCACACGGAGAAGGTTTTATTATTAATCGTAACGCTTGCTTAAGGCTTTCAAATTCATAATCAAGCCCGAGAAGCGGGTGCTATAACTTTCAGGCACTACATTTCTGGAGTTATATAATTCTTTTTTTGGGTAGAGCGAGATGGAGTGTTAAACTTTTGCTAACAAAAAAAGTTCCTTCTCCTGGGCCAGGCCGACGCCGCGGTATATTATTAGGCTTGACCCGCAACCCCAGCGCTGTAAATATGCCTATAGTACAATAGTTATCTCCTATTTTAATATATACATTTGCTAAGGCTCACCTACCACTTACTTCTGCCAGGGACTTCGCTCTCAGTACCAAGGAATAAAACCTATGTGTTATTCCAGACTATAATCTGTCTTTATGCCAAATTTCATCCTCATCCGTTGAGTAATTCTCTACGTGATCTTGATACTTACAAACGTTCGCGTTTATATACATAGTAAAAGTAATAGGTACTAGTAGGATGTTTTTCGTTTGTTAACTGTTGGTATCATTTTAAGATCAATTATTGTCATGCTGTGTTATAATTATTATGACATGTCTAAATGACGTCATAACCTAGAACTTGTTCAATGTCATAACCACCATTCGGGTCCATTGTCCTGATTAATGAAACGTAATCTATGCATGCGCTACTGCACCAATGACATCAGAGCCTCTACCTATCTACTAATCCCCGTTATAACCGTTTATACCTTAAATAAGCGTAGAATATATTAATTTCATAAAACAGATGATGCGATGTGATTCATATATATATTACATGCCTATATGCGCCCGTTACTGAGCAAAGGTCTCTTCTCAAAGTGACAGTAAAGTTGTGAAAATAATCTTAGAAAGTAAGGTACAGATAACTCGAAAACCCGTCATATTGGTACTAACCAGGTTTCGATTTACTCTCGTAAACCTCTAGGACATCACGAACGTAAATTATTATACGTGTATATATTAAAATACTTTATTATTTAGTCAACAATATAAATTAAGTCATACCCATTATTTAACAACGTTAGTTTTGGCTTAACAATATCTGAATAAAAATGTGTCATTTTTCTTCTTGAACAATAGACAAGACTTATTAATAAATGATCAAATAACACAAAACAAATAACAACTTTGTTTTTCTCCCACAGATCTCCTCAATCAAAAACAGAATTAACGTTATGCAATAAAAAGAAACAATGGCTGATACAAAGGATACTGAAAAATTTATAGTAGAATCTAACAATGAACATGCAGATAGTCAAAACAATAGAGATATCAACACAATTAATTCCATTAAATCAGAGGATAAAGGCACAGTTGTCCATTATTCAAGAGATGAAGCTGAGTCACCCGTTGAAAGGGTGAAGTTCGAAGGATTAGATGATAATGATAGTATATGTTCGGAAGATAGCCATGATTTAACAAAAGCTCTTCCAGCTATTCCAGATGGCGGATGGGGCTGGGTCGTAGTTGCTGCTGCATTTGTAGTATCAGCATGTGCTGACGGCCTCGCAGTCTCCTTTGGTCTTCTACACGAAGAATTCACTGCATACTTTGAAACTACACAATCAAAAACTTCATTGATTGGAAGTCTTTTTATAGCTACTCCACTACTAGCAGGACCAGTAATGAGTGCCTTAGTAGATAGGTATGGATGTAGAATCATGACAATGATCGCTGGAGTTCTCTCCGCTCTGGGATTCCTATTAGCTTCTGTAAGTAACTCTGTGGGAATGTTATGTCTAACGTTTGGCTTCATGAGTGGATTAGCAATGGGAATCTTATACGTGACTGCAGTTGTATCTGTGGCTTTCTGGTTTGATAAAAGAAGAAATCTAGCTGTATCTTTAGCCACGTGTGGCATAGGCTTTGGCACTCTTATTTATTCACCAATGACTCACTACCTCTTAGAAATATATGATTGGAGAAATACTATAGTTTTATTAGCTGGTACTCTACTTAATATGTGTGTTTGTGGAGCATTAATGAAGACTCCAGAATGGTTAGAAATTAAACAAAAAAGAGAACGAAGACTCTCTAAAGCTAGATCTCGAAGATCATCAAGTGCTGGTTCTACATCGTCAAGATCTATAGGGGGAGAGTCAGCGTACTTAGACTCTGAAGAATTAAAGACTTTATTAGAATCTGGTAAAAGCCCCGAATATATTTTAGCGACATTAGCAACTAGTATAGCTGAAGCCGAACAACTGGAAGCTACAACTCAAGCGAATGCGGAGAGCCCGAGCAAGAGAATGCATTCAGCTATACATCTACCAACATTTGTTCAACAAAATGAAAAGGTATTTCTTGTATTATTTTTACACATTCCACATAATTAAGTATTTTCGAGCTGTACTGAATAATAATTGCTTTCCTTTTTACAGGTACCAGCTGAAGTAATAGACAAATTGATGAAAAATAGACGACTCTATAACATTATTTTGCAAAATTATCCTGATGTGCTAACGCGAAGACATTCGGATGTCAACGTCAATATTGAGAATACAGAACATACTAAAGGACCTGCAAAACTTCCCGTCGAAATTAAAGCAAAGAAACCTAAAGATGGAACTGAAGCAGAAGTTAAAAAAAGCGAGAGTGAGAAAAAGGCAGAGAATGATGCTGCAAAGACTGAAACTACGAAGTCTAATACAAATATAAATTTAACGAAACAGAATGTCGCTGAGAAGGATGCAAAGTTATTGCAACAACAGCAGCAACAGAGTTGGTTTAAACAGATGTCGACTGACCATCATTATTTGAGAGATGTCCCTTTGTATAAAACAACAATGATGCACCGAGGTGCTATGATGTCTATTACTAGGTACAAACTCAGAGCTTCATCGCTACCAGATATGTATAGAAACTCGTCGTGGTCTCTTTATTCTGAATCTGATGATGAAATGGTAAGGATTTTTTGTAAAAGTAGTTTGAATTTAAGTTAAATTTCTCCTTTCATCTTTGAAATTTATTTGTTGCAGAGATGGCACACCCGCTGCTTTCAAGCTCTGAACTCCATGTTCGATTTCAAAATGTTTACGGAGTTCCACTTTCTGCTGTTCAATCTATCGTGTTTGATTCTTTCCGTGTGGTTTATTGTTCCATACTTCTTCCTTAATTCCTATATGAATGAAATGAGCACACCAGGTGGACCTTTGATGATATCTATCATTGGAGTTGCAAGTAGTATTGGAATTGTAAGTAGCTTTCATTTTTATAGACACCTCTTTAGTAGATTCAACTATGTATGCACGTTCATCTTACCTATCTTCTTCTAGGTAGCTCTCGGCTGGGCTGGAGACCAGCCTTGGGTTAACGTCACCAAGACTTATGCAGTATGTCTCATAATCTGCGGCGCAACAGTTGCCATCTACCCCTTGTTCATCACCAATTATTGGGCCTTGACTGTCAACTCTACATTCTTCGGCCTCACCGTCGCCAGTGCCTACTCCTATATGCCCATGATTCTCATGGAGTTGATGCCTATTGAGAACTTCACTGTGGCGTATGGACTGATCCTTCTGACGCAAGGCATTGGGCATCTTGTTGGACCCCCTATTGGAGGTGAAAATTTGATTTCATTTTGTATAAAAGTTTACTTATTTTCTTTAGAAATCATTTTTAGTGTCATTCGTATCTTTGAAAAAAGAATCAAGAAATTTTTTTAAGACATGATTTTAATGTGTTTTTAAAGATGATTTTGAAAAGGTCACAAAGAGATTTTGATTAGGTACCTTATTGAGACTTTAGAGAAATGGGTATGGGGAATGGGTATCCTATTCTTTGAATTAATACAAAGAATGTCATAAACCGAGTCTCTTTGTTGTAACTATGTTTGTATTTAAAACAGACCTATCTAACTGACAGCCATAACCTTTTCTAACGTCCATATTTATGTTAATCTTCTATTGTACTATAAGTGGACATTAAGATTTTTATCACATTCTGTTTTTCAAATTTCCATAACTTCAATTTCCCTTTTTTTCAGGTATGCTCTACGATTTCACTGGATCTTGGGAGCTGACTTTCTACATAGCGGGGTTATGGCTAGTCGTATCAGGTCTTTTCGTGGGAGCCATAGCATACACGAAGAACCTACGATTATGTGGCACATCCCCTCTTTTGAAGGAAGCTGCGGAAGCAAAGAAACTAAATGAAGCTACAAATGTGTAACTTGGAACCATCGTAATAAAGTTCCTTTATAGTTCCGGATATTGTGTTTTTTTTCTTTTTTTGATGTCATAGATCGCCAAGAGCAGACGGATTACCTGGTGGTAAGCAGTCAGCGCCTACCATGGACAAATGAGTTTTTAAAAGTGCGTTGCCGGCCCTTTTAGGTTATTAGGGGGGTTTTGAGGATTTAGAATGTGGAGGAGAGATTAAGTGTGGGAGAGTCTATTTTCGGCATGAATGGGTCGCCTCATTCGACCGGAGTGATACCGCGGCTTCACAGTGAACTGGCATGAAACAACTAAAACATTCTGTTTTGAGTGAGATTACCTAAGGCTCAATCCTTATCCTTACTGAACGGACACTGCAATCCCAGCTGAAAAAAAGAAACGATTCATCTAAGTGGTCTATTTTAAAGTCTTTTTATTTGTTTGGTTGAATTTGTAAAACATATTTTCTCCTCGATCCAGCGAAATAAAACTGTTTATATAATAATATTATCTTCTTTAAAATAGGCACATTCATTTTATTACTCATTACTCAAAAATCACGTATCTATCAGGCTAAGTTTTTATCAATGTCACGATACCTCTACTACGACGATTAGTGACGCCGATAATTGTAAACAAATTATAATAACTATTAATTAAAAACTCGTATCAGTAGATAAAGAAATTCAGTATAATATAAAGTATGTATTTCATTTGTAGGTATATACAGAAAATATATGGGTAAAGAAGATTATGTAAACACCTAATTTTTTTTAATAGATCGGTAAACGAGCCGATTGATTACCTGATGGTAGTCAGCGCCGCCCATGGACACCCGCAACGGAGGAGTTACGAATGCGTTGCCGACCTCTTAGGGATTAGGGTTTTGGAGATTAAGGGATTGGGGAGGGATCGGGGGAGGGGAAGATTTGGGCCTCCGGTAACCTCACTCACACGGCGAAACACAACGCTGTGGTTGTTTCACGCCGGTTTTCTGTGAGGCCGTGGTATCACTCCGGTCGAGCCGACCCATTCATGCCGAAGCATGGCTCTCCCACACATAAAATTACTATTTTCCACTCAAATGTATGTATGCTATTACTATACTATAATATTATAAAGAGGTAAATTTGTAAGTTTGTATGTAGGGGGTAACCTATGGAACCGCCGGTCGGATTTCCAAAATTCTTTCACTGATAGATAGCTACAATGTTCCTTATTGCTATTAGGCTATAAAACATCACGCTACGACTAAATAGAGCCGAGCAGCGGGTAAAACCGCGCCAGAGTAGCTAGTCAAATATACAAGTGTTAATATACACCGTTTTAGAGAAGTTGGAAAATTATCAAGTGACTTTCTCTCGTCCAGGCTGAGGGAGCAAGGGAGTGTCAGATGGTTACAGACTAAAAACCACCCTGTTCCTAATCCTGCTGCAGGCCGAAGCCACGGTACATTATTGCAGCTGACCTGCAACTTTTGATATTTATTTATTATTCCTTCTTCACACAAAACAGTCTGAATGGCGGACTTAATGCCTTAAGGCATTCTCTAACAGTCAATCATAGGGCGGTGCAGAGAATTCTTGCGGTTGATGCGAAGCTAGGCACTGAAGTGTTTTACTCATGGATATAAAATTTTTATACAACATTAATTATTATGTTTTTCGGCTTACTCACGTAATAATTTGACGAGATACTCGACTAGTTTCAAGCCATGCTAGACGCCCATATTCATGAGCAGCAAACCGCGACACGCGACTCGGCGACTGTTGCCGAGAATTATAATTTAGAATGTCTCACGAAAGTTATAATAAAAATTTATACAACATTTTTATAAGCCTGTTTTAGCTCAGAACATTTATCATATTAGTTAAGTGTAGAAGAGCCATACTTCGGCACGAATGGGCCGGCTTGAAAAAACACTTACGTTGGGTACCTCCGTCTGAGTGTGAGGAGACGAAAGAAAAGGCGGAGGTCCAATCCTCCCACCTCCTCCCAGCATCCTCAATCCTTAAATCCTCTCTAAAAGAGGTCGGTAACGCATTTGTACTAACTCCTTTGGTATTGCGAGAGTCCGCCGAGCGAGCAGCGCCGATTACATACCACCATAATCAGAATAAGATCTCTAAGAGTCTCTTATAGCAGCCCTGAAGTCTGAAGTCTCCTGCAGCATCTCACGTATTTCCGCCCGGAGTGCGCTTAATTCCTCCCTGAACGACCATATAACCCGTGCCAGTTCCAGACTCGCAGGGGTGTCGGAGGCAGCGGGAGGAAACGCCCGAGTGTCGTCATTGTGAGGACCACCTAGAGGATACGGTGGAGCATACGGTAGCGGTATGCCCTGCCTGGGCTGAGCACCGCCGTATCCTCAGGGAAGTGATCGGCGGCGGCGACCTCTCGCGCCCGGCCTTAGTCGAGGCCATGGTGCGGAGTGAGAGGAACTGGGACGCCGTCTCCTCCTTTTGTGAAGCAGTCATGCTCGCAAAGAGAGAGGCGGCCCGCGTGAGGGAGCAATCCTCCTCCTCACGCCCCAGCAGCCGCAACTGGCGACACTACGGGCGTCGGGGATCGAGGGACGATCTCCGGCCTGCGGTCGGCGAGTAAGGGCAGCTCGCCGCCCGACCAGAACCAGGCCCGAGCGTACGGCGCGTAGCGTTCCGCGCGCGCCTCAAAGAGCCAATAGACCACCACAGACGGGGCCCTAAAGGATGTTCAGCCGGGGTTGCGGGGTAAGCGCACACTCCCTCCTGCCCGGCCCTGGGCGGGAGAAGTCATTTGATGATTTTCCCCTCACAATAAAAAAAAAAAAAAAAAAAAAAAAAAAAAAAAAAGGGGTGTCGGAGGGCGGACTATTTGGTTCCGTGTAGTCTGCTGCTGCACCCTTTACTGGGATTGCGGAGTTATCGGTCTTAGGCAGTTTGACCTTGCAGCCGGGGCTCACACACACAGGCACGGTGATAGCAGCCCGTGCACTCGACACACATCTCGAGTTTCGCAATTCAAATCAAATTAAAGTCTTTTTGAATTTTCCAACTTGCGGGGTAGGCGCAATGAGACACCACGGCCTAGAGCAGGAGAAGGAACGGGCTGTTTTTAGTCAGTTAAGAGTCTGGCACTTCCTCCCGCCTCATCCTGGGTGGAAGAAGTCATTTGATGATTTAGTAACTAGTGTTATGCCATACCATAAACAATATAAAAAATTAGGTACATTTTTCCATTCATTGGCATCAGTGACATTGTTAAGTACAATCATTCTTCTTTTGTTCTCATAATTAATGAATCACAATTTCCGCCCGATAGTCCACATCCTTAATACACTTATTGACACTTCATACGAATATAAACTTTAACGAGTTAAAAGTTAAAGTATAAAATCGAGTATTGCTCCCATAGGAACAGTACCTATCAAGTGCAAACTTCAATTATTATAAAATGAAAAATTGAATTCTAATTTCGATAAATAAAGTCAGTAAACAAAAACCAACAATGCTGCTCTAAACATAAAATCTGGAATGGAATGAGTAATAAAATAAGGATAGGTAGTCAATGTAATTTATTAACACTGCATACCAAAATAAACTTTAAAGAGTTAAATTCAAAGTTTAAAATCGAGTAAATACCTACTTACTGCTCGTGTAGGAATAATAATTATAATACCAAACTTTACCTCTATTAAAGAAGGTGCTGAATTTTTTTAATGGAAGATGGTTAACGTAAACGAATATCAACTTTGCTGCTTCGAACATAAATACTAGAATTGAACGAGTAATAAAATAGGGATAGCAAAATAAAAAACACGTTGAAACTTTACAATAACAACTTTATTGTGAAGGGAACAACAATCAAGGAAGTCAGTATGCCAACAATAGTGTTGCCTACCACTCGTCAGATACATTGAGAGATATATTTAAGTAATTACAAGACGTATTATAATAATACTTATGTATAGGACTTTTATATAAAGAAAAAAAAGAAAAAGAAGTATCTATTTCACATAGACAATTTTGTCCAACGTACCTACACAACCATTTTGCTCTAGTAATTTATATTTATATATTAAAGTACCTACTATATATTATATAAAACTTCTGCTATTTTCACGCCGCTCGTGAATAAGTCCGGTAAAGCGTTTCAGTAATTCAGGTAAGTAAGTCGTTATTTTTAAAAATAAATTAAGCATGTACCTCACATTAAATACTGCACACTTAAAAAAATCTATTTTAATTTAAAGTTTAAGACATTGTTTGTTTTGGATTATATGGGACGCGCTAATCTCAGAAAATACTGTTTCGCTTTTAACAATTCTTTTCATCTTGGGTCTATTTTATCAATGACGGCTATAGCTGTAAAACTGTAGGCTATATATAAACTTCACGATACAATCAACAGGAGCCAAGCAGGGTTAAGCTATGATAAAAGTAAAATGCATTTTATTGACGTCGGTTTTGGACTAAAGAAAACCAAAGTCTGAAAATCTAAATGTATGTTTACATAGATACACATTTCAGTATGCGCCATTCAAAAATGTACAAAGAAAGATTATTTATTACTACTAACAAGATACAAAGAATTATGCAACTTATTGTTCGATCACTAGAGCGCAAAATGTCTAGCGCTCAACTTAATGATGTGGCTTGATCAACAAAGACTTGAGTGCACGTCGCTGATTCATTCAGTGCTAGCCCAAATAATGATTCTATGCTAAATACTGAATACTGAACAAAGTGAAATGAAACGTAATAGTCTGAATTTTCGGCTCAAATTACATTGACCTCTCAGTAAATCGGGAAATGAATATTGGTGATAAAAGTGACTAAATGTCGAGTACCTAACGACATTACAAAAAAAAAATTGAATAACAGACGTCGATTTTTTATCTTTTATCATCATCAACCTTTTTTTTGAAGAGGGAAAATTATCAAATTTCTTGTCTCACCTAGGGTATGGTGAGTGGGAGTGTCAGATTCTTACTGACTTAAAACCCCCTATCATTGTTGCGGTTGACCCACAACCCCGGAAAATACGATTTCGAAATATTCTTTAATAAAGAAA